AATATGAAGAATAAAAGAAGGGGTGGAGCCCCTGTTTCAGACACCAATAATGAGAAAAAAAAGCTGAAAACATGCAGGAAATTTAAGAACAAAAGAAGGGCGCGGAGCCCCTGTTTTAGTCCAATAAAATGATTAAAAAAACTTGGAGAAAAGATACAAAAAGGAAGAGGAGAAAATGGGGCGTAACCACTTTTTTAAACCAGGAAATAGAGGACAAAACTAAAAAGAAGAAGGGTTAACTCACCTTGACTTTAGAGGACTGTGGGAATGATGGAGGCTGTTCTCTCATCTTCCTCAGGTCGATACTTCGATTCTATTGTCAATGTGAAACCCTCGAAGATTAACTTTGTTTTTACTTTCCTCAATACAAAAGCATGATAACATGCAATAGGTTCTATTATAATAACTAATACAACCAATAAAATATTATATATTTTATATTTTTTTATTAAATAAATATTTCTATAAGAATGCGTCTAATATAGTTGGCGTTTGGGCGAGGTGTTCTTTGAAAAGCGCATAGTCGCCTAGGTGACGCCTAGGCACAACTATGATGGGGACAACTACATGAATCCTGTTTTGTCAATCTGTTCTATTTAAAGCCATATCCACTGTTAACTTATTAGTGCCTAAACCATTTCTATTTACTTCTACTCATCCTTTTCGGTTTATTCCTAATTCTTTTAGCCCTTTCAACTTGTAACAAATCACTTCTCTGACTGGAGTAGTTGGTGGTCTTCTATTGCACATGACCAAACCATGTTAGTCTACTCTTCTCATTTTATCACTTATTAGAGCTTTTAGGTTCCTGGATGGCTTCATATTTTTTGATGGTAAACAGTGACTTTGATTAATGTTCAAGGAGATTGAGTATAACTGCCACCTTCATAAGCAAGGTGACCGCTCAACACAAATTAAACACGCGCCCAAAATAGGTTCTCCCTACTAACTCCTTGCTTTGCTAAAGAATCAGCATTTGCATTGGCTGATCTCCTGGTCCATTTAAAACAGACCTCCAGCCCTTGTTGGGCGAATAATTTCCCTTACAGGTTGTCCAAGGGATCAAGTGCCCAAATTGTTTTACTGCATCCATCCTATTACCAATTTCCAATCTCCCTCCACTTCCAATTGTTGGATATCTAGTTGTTTAGCCATTTTGAGCCCTTGTAGAAGTGCCAAAACTTTTTCTCTAAGAGTCTCCCACACCTATTGGGGTAGAAAACAGATCCATAAATCTTTCTTCTCCATCCCAATTTCAGAGGGGCCTAGATTATCTATAGAGCTGCCATCAAAGTTGAGCTTTACACCCACAATTAGGAGCAGGTTGCTATTGTTCTCTAATGGAGACAACAGTGGTTTGTTGAGCTACAGTAATGAAAAGAAAAAATTTAAATGGCTGAGTAAGGATATTGAGGTGAAGTACAGCTGGGTCAAGAGAAGTGGTAACTCAATGGCTGATTGGTTAGCTAAGCAAGGGGTGGTTAAGGAATTTCTGTTTTGGGCTAATTTTTAGATTTTTTCTGTCCTTTTTGTTGTTGGGGAGTTAAGATAGTTTACCTCCCCCTTTCTGTAATTAAAGTTTCACAAATCTTATTCATTAATAAAGCTTATTGTTATTATCAATAAAAAAAAGCTTATTGTTATTAATAAAAAAAAGGCATTGGGCCTGTTAGGATTAGAGCCAAAAGGTTGCATTAACTCCGCGGTCTACTATGTGCTTATTTGCAAATTCCTTAATGCAAATCATCTTTTATTATCTCTGATAGAAAGCCATTGTGAAGCCATTCGGGCCTGGAGCTTTACTTTGTCCATTAAAAACATTGCTTGTTTAATCTCTTCCTCAAAATTCCTTTTTGCCCACCTATCCTTTTGCTTGGCCAATGCACCCCTTCCACTACTGAGCTGTCATTCAAAGGCCTCTTATAAATGGATTTGAAGTGGTCCACAAACTTCTTGGCTATATCATCCTGATTGGTAATCACCCTCGCTTTTACCTCTAATTTGGTCACAAAATTCTTCCTTTTTCCAATTGCTAATTTGTGAAAGAATCTAGTATTCCCAAATCTTCCTTAATCCACCTATGCCTTGAATAAGCATTGGAAGTGCAATTGCAGCAGCAGGTTTGTACTAGTTGGAACGGCACGATGATGGTGACTCGCACATTGCTCTTTTAAACGGATCAACAAAATGGAACACAAAATATAAAACCAGGAAATATCACCAATGATGGGTTGGTAGGGTGGACGGGAGTATCGTTTAAATTGGGAAGTGTGGACAGCAATGGGAAGTAACTGGTAAGGCCTTGAGTAGAGACAAACAGTTTGGTTGAGATAAAAAGTCGAGGCTTTAAAAAAATCTGCAAGGGGTTAATTGGTTGGCAAAATTTTTAAAACTGACCTGGAGAACGAACCGGTGAGGGGTCCGGTTCCTGGTCGAACGGTCCGATTGTTATAAAAATGGCCCGTTTTTATAAAAAAAATAAAATAAAAAAGGGTCAAAACCGTTCCAACAGTTCGAATGGTTAATCGCTCGGGTCAGTGGTTTACTGATCAAAATCAATGGTTTTTGGAGAAAATCTGGTTTTGGGGAAAAACGGAACCGATCACTTGACCGGTTTCTGGTTTTTTCGGTTCGACCGTTCGGTCAGGTTTTGAAAACCATGCTGGTTGGTGTTGAGTCCTGGTGAATCAAGCATGTCCTTGGCAGCAGTGAACCTAAAATAGTTAATGTTCGCGTTTCTGGGAAGGTTTGTCGGTTGGTATCTTTGAGGAATTGAACATGATGGAGATCTCTAAAACTTATACGATTCTACTCTAGTCATGCTCCAGAGATGGATCTCTGATCTTTAGGTGTAAATCAGGCTATGCTGGGCTAGCATGACACGACTTGCATGTGGCCCATGCAAAGTGTGGGTTGTGTCGTGTCGGCCTGTGGGCCGAGTCAGGCCGTGCTTCCATCCCCTACGATATTTTGGGGGGTCGACCAGACGGCCCACGGCCCGAGCCTGAGCCTACATGGGCCCATCTTGTGCTGTGGGCCGGACTGGTCAGTGGGTCGAGCCTTGGGCTAGGCTGGGCCATAGATCGGGTCAAGCCATGTTTTGTAAAATTTTTGAAAAAATAATGAAAATTTTAACATAAATTAAAAATATATACAAAAAATTAAAAAAGATCTTAAAATTTTATTTTATATGAATTTTGATGTATACACAATAATAAAATGAAATAATATAATAAAGTTGAAAATAAAATTATATATATTATATAATTATTATATATAATATAATATATATATTATACAAAATATATAAAAATATATATATGGGCCGTGATGCGGGCTGCGGGCAGCATGGTCCACTTGGTCGTGTCGTGCTGACCCACGGACCTGAAATCCTAGGCCTGACAGCCCATTCGGTCGTGCCATGCCTGGGCCGCAGGCGGGTCAAAATTGGGTCGACTCAAAATTGTACTGGGCCACGGGTGGCATGACTCGATTTACACCTCTACTCTGATCTATGGTTTTGTGTTGGTAAGGACTTTGCTCACTGCCACTTTGGTTGGGCCACGCAGAGCAGAGAGAGGTGGACTGGTGGTGGGCGGGCCTGGGACTTTGCTCACTACCACTTTGGTTGGGTCACGAGGAAGATTATAAGAGCAATGTCCACAGCCGATTAATGAAAATAGCTCATCAGTGTCAAAATTAATGAGGTTTTTTGGGATTTTGAAATGTTTCGAGGTGTCCATATATGATGCGTTAGTGGCTGGACCTTTTTTTTCTCTGGAAGGTCAAGGTATAAGTGACCAAGTGTTCCACTTATCTCTGGAAGGTAATGGTATAAGTGGCCAAGTGTTCCACTTGTTGAGGTCATTACCCCTAAAGTACAAGATACTATCTGTAATTTTCTCAAAACTATACAATAAAGAAACAAATTCAATAGGGGTATTTTGGGCATGTAAAAATTAATAAAGGAGGTTCACCATTTAGTTAAGGTTATTTTTGTCATTAAAAATTAAAAGATACATGCTAACTTTTTCTGTGATAGGGGATTTATGGTTAACATTTATCAAATTTCAACCAAGTGAGGCCATGAGGGGAGGTTAGATAGTTTCCCCCGTATTATTTTGGTATTACAATTTCCCTTCGCAACTATTCTAATGAATTGACATGTTAACATTTCCGGAGTCAACTAGATGGCTCATTTCATTATATGTTGTTTATTACTTTGTATTCGGTGAGAACGATGCTTATTCCAACTAATTCATTTCTTCTAATTTTCAGAACTCGTTCGGTGGTGCTGCAAAGAAAGCAAAGGTAGCTTCAGTTTTCAGCAATGATAGTGACGAAGACTAGTCAATTTCTCTTCAACCTCGGGAACTTTGCAATGAAGACTGAACCTTGTTTTAGTATTAACAAGAGGATTTGATTTGAAGGAAATAGATGTACAAATAATATATATAGCTTTTCCATCTTGTTTATTCATGTATGTTGGCCTGTTGTGTTTGCTCTGGATTTATGACAGTTATGGACTGTGGATCACCTTGGTAGATGTTTTGCTCTCCTAGTTTGAAGTTAAATGACACAATTGCACGCACATATGCATTTGCGTGGTGGGTGTGATCACGTGACCGTGTCATGTGGCTGGATCTTAAAAACAATGAACAGTTGGAGTATGCCTCTATTTTATTTTCTTTCATACCAGTCTGGTCTAATGATCCTTGATGGTACTCGGCAGTGCTTAGATCATGTTGTAATTAGGTTTATTGCGAATCCTTTCCTTCCCCATCAATATTGGATTTCACAAATTGTAAATTAAAATACAATTATTGATTAAAGCGAGGTTCAAAATATCAGATGCATTAAATAACTACCCGTAAAATTTGAAGCTCTATTTTAAATGCAGACTCCACAATTTTTATTAATGGAGATGCATATATTTAAAAAGCAAGATTATATTCAAAAACGTTGGTATGTATTGCTTATTTTGCCAGTGCATCAATGTTTGAAATATTAATATTGTGCATCATTCTTCTCTTGTATATTGTCTTGGATTGAAAATGGAAGTCTCCTGATATTGTCTTGTAAGGTGCAAAATTTTGTCAGCCCGTATTGGAAGTCTCCTGATATGCTCCTACGGGGTGTTTTGGGGTTTAATCCGGTTCAGGGGGTAGAAGGGCTATAGACTGACCCCTCTGAAGTTTAAACCAGGTTCATGAAAAAAAATAAAAAATAAAAAAAAGTGGGTGCAAGGGATGTATTGGGCTGTATCGACATCTTGAACCTTGTGGATATATATTTCGATGTGTTGGACGTATATGGATATGATAGATATAGATATACTTGAATAACAAAGTTATACAATGTATAATTATGCAAGAAGTGCATATTTTGTAGACTGTATGAAGTATGGTTTCAAAACCGGACCGGACTGGAAAAACCGGGAACCGGTCACCTAACTGGTTCCGTTTCTCCCCAAACCCGCTTTTTTCCCCAAAACTGTTGATTTTGGTCAGCAAACCGCTGAACTGGCCAGTTAACCATTTTTCAAATTCTTTAAATTTTTTTATTTTTTTTTGTTAGAACGGACTGGTCGTTTGGGTCGAACAATTGGACCGTTTGAACCGGTAACCGGACTCCTGACCAGTTTGGTCACCGGTTCGGTTTTAAAAACCATGGTATGAAGAGATACATTAATCTATGTAATAGGACATGATATAGATGGTCTAAGTGTAATTATTATATTTTAATTATAAAATCATTTTTTTTTATTTATGATTTTTACTTTTTTAGTAACAAAAGAATAATTCAAAGTAGTGTTAAAATATCGTGTATTTTGTAAATAATAATTATTTTTCTAAATAATAAAAATATTTGTATTTATTGTAGATTAAAATATTAATTAATAATTTGTTAAAGTATAATCCTAATGTCAAAATATATAAAACCCACAACAATTTATAAGATGTATATCATATGAGCATTCAATGAGATATTACATTAACGTTCCAGCAAATAGTTACAAGTAACAGCAATTAAAGAGTATGGATGTATAACAATCTTCATCCTTGACTCTGCAAACAATACGTGTGTGAATACCAATCAATCAGCAGGGATGACAATATATGTTGGCACGGGAGGATTGGTGTTACGTTGGAAACTCCACCTGGATCACTTGTTGGTACACTTAGAAACCAGTTCACATTTTGGGACGTTGATTATGCAACCAGTTCACAAATAATTAGGAAAGATGTTCATGACATGAAAGTGGACTATATCCATGGTCATATTAGGCTATCTGGCACGAGGGAACTCTTGTTGAATATTCAAATGCATTGACACAGTAATACCACTTAAATATTAATATTACTCGATGCTTGAATGAGATTAAAATCAGTGGGACAGAATAGTGAAACCAGAGTTTTGCCAAAAAAATGAAAAAGGGTGGTGAAGAAGGGATTGAATCCCAAGTCTCCGTTACCAGCCACTAGATAGACGGGATCGGCTGCCTATAGAGGACACATCACCGGTAGCATCAGACAAGGAAACCAGCTTTATTACAGTTCAAATCAGCAATAAAACGCCAATTAATATACATACATATTTTTTAAACTTGGTTGGTGTCCCTCGCATTTAGGAATAGCAATGGGGCGGGAAAAGGACAGAGAGCGATTCCTATCCCCATATTTGAATACAATCAACCATATCTTTTAAAATATTAATATACATACGTATATACATAATGTACATGCATATACACAAGGGTCCATACAGATGGATGACAAGGGACCACGGGGCTAGGAGTACTCTTCCCGTCCCCACCCCATCCCCACCCCATTCTGGACTAATCCCCATGGAGATCAGAAAAATTGAGAAAATTTCCATCCCTAAATGCATTGAGAAGATGCGGATCCAACTTGGACAAGTTTGTAGAGAAGGGTTGAAATGTGGGGCATAAGCAACGGAGACGTCCTCAATCGTTATAGAGGAGATTAATGGAATGTTACCGCTTGATAATTTGATCAAAGGGTGGTGAGAAGCTGCTTTGTGAGGGAAATATTAGGATTCTCTCTCGATCGTACATCATACCTGTCGAGAGACAAAACATGGTGACCAGGTAAGCCGTGATCTGGAGAGAGATGGGGTAGATGGAAATAGGGGTGTCAATTGGACTGGATTTGGTCTAATCAGATCCAGTCCCATGTGTGACCATTATAAATGGACCATATCCAATCCAATCCAGAATGTTTTGGACCAATTTGGACCAGTTCAATTCAACGTCTGAACCGTTTAATCTGTTCAAATTCATTTTGATTTAGATTGGTTTCAACTGAAACCCGGTCCATTGACACATTCTTATCTAATATCAATAGACCAGATATTGTCTTAATCTAACGCAATCCAATATAAATTTGTTCCAGATGGACCAGGTCCAATCCAATCCAATCTAATAAATATTTTGGACTGGATTGGTCCAATCCAATGTCTTGTTGGTCCATCCAATCCGTCCAAATGGACTGGACGGGGTCCAATCTAAAACTGGCCTTTTCACTATTGTGGCCCAGTCTATTTCATTGTTGGGCCCATCTATTGGGGAGTATCCATCTATTGTGGTCCAATCTATTTCATTGTTGTAGAGCCTGTGGGGTCAAATTTGGAGAAATAGACCAAGAGAAAGGTTTTCTATTTGCAACAATACCAACAACACAACCTTCCCAAAATTATTTTCACACAATTTGCTCCATACCTCGACACCGACCCGCCAGTCTGGGTTAAATGAACGGATGGTATGCCATTCTATTAGACGATGTGATCACACGTTTTGAAAAGGCCATTCGTGTGTGCACACCTGGAGGTGACTGAAAATCCTTCTGTCTTACCACCCACCGCTAACGTGGGAAATTCTGCTTATCTGCGTTATGACTTGATCTCCTTTGTATTTGTGATTCATCTTCTTCTTTTCTACATACTTTTTCTATTATTCAGGTAATGAGTTGGGATAGACATAACAGTAATTTAAATTGTTGTGCACATTAAAATAACCTACTTGTTTATCTTTCAAAAACTCCAAATTTTTATGAATTTTGGGGTCTTATGAAAATTGGTTCTTAAAAGCTCGAGTGGGTAACCATCACTGACCCCATAGTACATGGGCGACTTTTGTAATTTACCCTTGTTTTTTTTTTTACTGATGTCAATTTCAAACACAAATTAAAACAAAAACATTCATGTTGTAGACGTAGAACACCCCTAAAATGATGGTTGTCAACACCAAAATAAAGCTTATAGCACAGATATTATATGATGAGAAATGATACTAAAGGAACCAGATGAAAGCATGCTCCTAAACTAGGAATTCAAGAATTTGTTTTTGATTTCAGTTTTGGAAAAAAAAAAGAACAATTTTGTGTTTTCATTTTAAGCAACATTTTTCTAAACCAGATGGTTTTAATTTGTTTTTGAAACTCGCAACAAGAAAACAATTCACATTCGAGAGACTCCAAGTTAATAGGTAAAACCTGAGAGGAGGTCATGGTATTTTTTACTGTAAAAGGATCTGTTAGCTTGTATGGATACATTTAAATTTATGATGACAATTTTAACACGACCAAGCATACAGTAAACACAAGCATTTTTTTTCAAGGAACAAACTGCTCTTCTAAGCATGTTGTTCGGATAGTCAGCATCCTTAGTTTGACTTATTTGAAGACATTTAGTTTGGGTGCAATTTTTTTTTTTTTTTTGGATCAATAACAAGTGCATTTTTTTTTTTTTGACTTATGGAAACACCAGGTGCATTTTTTTTTATCAATAACAAGTGCTTTTCATTAACAGAATTAAGGGATTAGTACATGAAAGGGGAGATAAACTTTCTTAACTCTACCAACCAATAAGACCACCCGACAGGTGTGAAGAAAACAAATGCAATTACAATTGAGCACAGAAAGAATTATCAGATCTTTTAATCCAATACCACCTTATAATCTCCTTCTATAATCAGCTTTCTAATACACAGCTCTTTAGCTCTTTGTGCTCCTTCCAAAGCCACCAAAATCTCTGCCTGAAGAGTCACCTGTTACAATTACATTTCATTCCTCATTCCTGAAAACATTCATCATTCCAGAAAACATGCAATTACATTTCCTTCCTCATTCCTGAAAACTCCCCCAATGCCTCAAGGCCCAAGATTACCAGCATTGCTAACCATCAAAGTTCAATTTGATAAAGCCACTAGGAGGAGACCAAATAGGACATGCAACCACCTTTGCTGGGTCAGAATTTTCTATCTTGATCCATTTCCTTCATAAATCTACCATTGTAAAATCTTCAAACATGTTCAGAGTCTTCAGCCTATTTGGATCACTTCCAATAAAGTTTCTACGCTTTCTCTCCTTGTCTGAGAAGATCCTTAAGTTCCTTTCTTCCCATATTGTCCAACATATAGCCGCCCTTACGCACCTACCTACACATCACCCTACCCCTTTTCTTTGGCCAACTAAAAGTTGTAGAGGCAAACAAGCTTTGCATATTAAGTGGGGGGACCACCTGCATCCAAACAAAGAAATAAACTATTCCCAAATACTATTAGCAAAATGGTAGGAGATAAGTGGTTACCAGTCTCACCTTTGGCTTTATAGAGAACACATCAATGAGGGGATAAACAACTCTTGGGTCTTTTTCTTTGAAGCAAATCACTTGTGTTGATTCTTTCCAGGAATGCTTCCCAACAGAAACACCCCACCCTCGGTGGAATAGGTCTACACCAGGAAAATGCAACCTAGGATTAAAGGCCAGTTGAGTTGAAGCGTTGAATAAAGAAGCAAAAGTGAACAACCTATAGGAGGAAGATTTCAAAATCTGACTATCAGGCTTTGTAGAATCCAGGAAAACTCCTACAAGGATATACCCAAAAGAGTCGAGGTACTATCTAATTCTGTATCTCTAATGGCCCTTCTCAATCCCAGATTCCAACTAATGCCAAAATTAGAATGAGAAGGAATCAAAAAGGTAGAAATAGGCTGGTGCTTGACATTGGGCAAAGCATAGAAGGAAATTGGACCATCAAAAGAAGATCCCCAACCCAAATTTACTCCCAGAATTTAATGAGATTGCCTGAGTGCAAATCATACCCGATGAAAGGCAAGAATAAAGGCAAAGTATCTTGGATTGCTTTCCATGGTGAGGCTCTTTTGTCATAGCCATAATCCCAACATCCCATCCATTGACTGCAAGCCCATGAATACTTTTTATTATCCTAGCCCACAACTTTTCCTTCTCTAATGAAAATCTCCACAACCACTTCCTCAAAAGAGCCTAGTTTCTTTTCTAAATGTTCGCTAACCCAAGCCCTCCGAATTTTTTCGCTTCTCTCACCATGTCCCAACTGACCCTATTATCCTTCTTCTCCCCTTGGCACCCAAAGAAAATCTTTCATTAATTTTTCGAACTTCCTAGTTGTTCCCTTGGAATTTTGAGCATCGACAAATAATAAACAAGCAAGTTAACTAAGGTGGACCTAATCAATGTGATTCTCCCACCCAGAGACAATTTTTCTTCCAAGCAGCTAGTCTCTTCTCAAACCTTTCAACGACTGGATTCCAGAGCATTCCATTCTTTGGAGTTTGGATTATCATCTAAGGGCAAGCCTAGATAACTCAATGACGAGTTAGACACCACACAACCAAAAATGTCTGCACTTTATAGGATCTCTCCTTCCCCCATATTTATCCCCACTAAGGAACTTTTCTCAAAGTTCACCTTAAAATTAGATATTTTCTTGAATAATTGCACAAGTTTTAGATTCCCAATCCAACTTAAATCTCCTTCACAAAAAAGCACCGTATCATCTGCAAACTACAAAATTAAAAAATTTCAATTGATTCTGTTTCCAACCCCAAATGAATCAAGCAACAACAATCGGAATCCGATTCCGATTCACAACTAAACCAAACATGCATGATGAATAGGTGATTCCAATTCTGATTCCAATCCTATCCACAAACCAAATGAACCCTCAGTCTTCCAAGAACCTCTGATATCAAAGTAAACAGGAAAGAGGATAGAGGGTCTCCTTGCCTTATTCTCCTATATGTCAAGAAAAAAAAAATCCACCATTGTCCCATTTACGAAAACAGAATATTGACATGTTCTAACATATCCCATCACCCATTTATGCCATCTATCCCCAAATCCAAAACTTTTCATCACTTCCAACAAAAAGTACCAATACACCATATCATAGGCTTTCTTTAAATCAAGCTCGCATACCACTCCTTTCCTTTCTTCCTAACTTCTTGAAATCCTCTACACTTTAATTTGCTATTAAAATTTGATCAGCTATCTGTTTTACTTTTACAGAGGCTTCTTGATTAGGTGCAATTATGGAGGGAAGGACTTGTTTAATCTGAAGAGACAACACCTTGGCAATAATCTTGTACAAACTATTCACTAAACTAATTGGCCTAAAGTCTCTCGGATGGACAGCATCCTCTTCTTAGGTACCAACCAATGAAAGTGGAATTCATCCCTGGATTAATTACTCTTCTATAGAACTTCTCAAAGACTACCAATAAGTCCTTTTCTAGTATGTCCCAACAGTCTTGATAAAAAGCCACTAGAAAACCATATGGGCCTGGAGCTTTTGATCTATCAATAGAAAACATACTTCTTTTATTTCCTCCAATTCAAATTTTCTTTCTATCCATACCCTTGCCTCTAATCCTAACCTTGGCCACTCCAATCCTTCAACCCACACCATACCATTCAAGGGTCTTCTAAAAATAGATTTAAAATGTTGCACTGAGGCCCCGGCAATCTCATTCTATTGAGTAATTGTTGAATCGTCAATTTCTAACCACAATTTATCTTGATTATATTATTTTCTCTTGGACTTTTTTTGTACTTAGCAAGTGTCCTCTAAGACTATTTATAAGTTTTAAACAAATTTAGATCCATCCAAGCCCTAGACTCTTTCAAGTAAATCAACCAAACAAGTTTTAAACAAATTTAGATCCTTTCATTATTTAATAGCTCTAACTAAAATTTTCTCAAGTATTGTCAATTAATCATGTCCTCTAAATACTGATCTCTCTCTCTCTCTCTTCCCTTTTTATTTTTGACCTTATAACTATTGACCCCTTAGAACCAGTTTAAACGTTAACCCCTTACACCTTACTATATTCAAACTTAACCCAATGATCACTAGCCGCCTCTCTCCTTCCTGATATCAAATCTCAATCAACTAAGGGCTGCATTAATATACTTATTTCTAATGTGTTTGTTTTTTCAGTTATAAAGAGTTTTTCCTTTTGACAGTCTAATAAGAAGGTGGCAATTGGGATAATGAAAAAAAATGAACCTAATTAGTCTGTCAAAACTGCTAAAACAAGAAAATTTGTCTACACAAGTAATAAGCTTCTTGCTACAAGGAAGATGGCCAATTATCTGATTATGTTAAATAGAAAATGGAATTAAATTCAAAATGTGTTTAAAGTCGATTTTGTATTTAATTAGTTCAACATGAAAGGTAACATTTTGAAGAAAGTGAGCCTACTATGCATAGACATATTTTAATTTGCAGCAGAGAGAATACTGATACAGAAGAGAAAGAGATCTTATTTAAGTAAGGTGCCTTTTTATTGGACAAGAGCAAGCCGATTGTTGTTCATAAACAACATTTCTTGGAACAAGGCAAAGAGCAAGAATAAGGTAGTACAAGGGGGAAAAAAAACACTACAATGCTTTTTAAAAAACAAAGGATTGGATCAACAGAAAAAAAAAACTAAGTATAAAGATGCTACAATTGATTTACCATAAAGTCAGACTTCTCATAACTATTCTCCTCTTGCCTCTTCTCCACTTTCAGCAGGTACACAGCAGACCTGAAATTGCTCCAGGCAAATACTTTTTACATAAAAAGAAATTACTGGCGCCGCAAAAAGGCTATCTGCCTGACCTTCTAACTAAAAAACCCAATGGTTTAAGGGAAACCATACAGAATTGTCTGACCAAAAATATATGATTGATTAGAATTCATATATAACCTCAGATATGTAAATCTATACAACATAAATGTATGCACAAGAAACTCTGAAAAAGACATATTGGGATATTGAAATTACAGAAGCATAGGAAAAGCAGTCACTGAAACCATGTTAAACTAAACATTCATCACCAGTTATTGCATCAATTCCTCCAATTTGGTTCCTCAGATTAAATGAACTTGGGTTAAACATAATTGATGTTAGAAAATCTTATTGTGGAACTGTTTTTTTCTGTAAAATAGATGATTAAACCAGGAAACTCAAATGCTGCAACCATTCTCTACAAATATCAACTAAATATTATGCACCAGAAAAATTAATACTGATCAACCAAAAACTCCAAACACTTATTACCAGTAGCCACAGAAAACTTTCCGTCAAGTCAACTCTCCATTGCCTTCAATTCCTCTATCGCCGCCTTAATCTGATCCTGCACCAGCTCAATACGCTTCAAATACACCTCCAACTCCAAGACTTGCTGTTTCCTCCACTTCTCGTCCACCACCTCCCCCTTGGAGAAGCTCATCGCAACCCCCCCAAAATTAAGGGGTAACGGATTCAACGCCACCCCTCCGAGACCTCCGAACCCTCCTCCATTTGAGTGTCCGTTAACTGCGCAATACAGCAGCTCTTTAAACAGCGGCGAGAGGCAACTCCTCACCGTCTCTTCAACAATATTCGGCATGGCAGAGTTGGCCCTACAATTCAACACGTTCTCCTCTGCACCTCTCTTCCTTCGTTTCCGAGGCCTCGAACCCTTCTTTTCCGAGTCATTCGCATCAGCATCATTATCAACACCACTGTTATTAACCTCGTTAGGGTTTCTATTGCTATTATTCTTGTGGTTGGGAAGGTTTGTTTCTTCGTCATCCAATCCGGCTTCTTCAACGCCACCAGTACCAGCTCCACAGGCCACGCTGCTCCAGATCTTGCGGGAGATCTCGAACGTGACCTGATCGTGGGGGCTCTTGAAGGCGAAGTCCTTTCCGGAGCTGATCCGGTTAACAACGTTCCTGTACTTCTTCTTTAGTCGCCGAAGCTTCTCGACTAACTGGTTCTTGTTGAAGTCGAGCTGCAACCGGCTCTTGATCTGGTCATAGAACGGGGCGGTGTCGTGGTGGTGCGACGAGTTATGGGTCCGTCGTTGGGTTGTATACTCGAGGAAGCCCTGCAAAAGACCGATCTCATCCTCGTCGGTCCATAGGCGCTGGAAGAGACGACGAGAGTCTTCGATGGTGGTTGAAGGCTTCTTTTCTTCAGCCGTGGCCGAGACGGGTTGAGTGATTGTGAGGTCGGGTAGGGATGTGGCAATTTCGGAAGGTGGTGGTTCGGGAACGGTACCGTTAGTGGTTCCGTCGACGGCGCTGGTGGTGGTGGCGGCGGCGGCGGCGGTGGCGGAATTTTGAAGGGCGTCCTTGGTGGTGGTGTCTCCGGAGGAGGAAACAGTGGAAGGAGGAGAGTTGAGATCTTCTTCGTCTTCGTCTTCGTCTTCTTCTTCTTCTTCTTCGTCGTCGTCGTCGTCCTTGGTTAGGTCTTCATCTTCATATTCTTCGCTTTCTTCTTCGTCGAGGTCGCCTTGTCCTGCTTCAGCTATGTTTTGATCATCTTCGTTCTCGTTTGAAGGCATCTCTTTATTTCGGGTTTCGGTGCCTAAGGATTGTTTGGTTTGATTTAAGAGGATATCAGAGAGAGAGAGAGAGAGAGAGAGAGAGAGCAGTTACAGTTGCGGTTGGAGGAGGAGGAGGAGGAGGAGGAGGCGGACGGGACGGGCGTCACTTCTTTTGAATTTTTCTAGGGTTATGGCCGCATAACTACTGGTTGGGCTTGGGCTTGGAACCTGGAACCTGGAAAGGAAAACGGGATTACGGGAAATCACGTAGGTGTTTGGCATTGGTCAAGGAAAACGGGAAATCACGTAGGTGTTTGGCATTAGTACTGAAAATATCGCACCGTTTTCTTATAAAAGTCATGTTGCGCATGTAGAGTTATAACCTCCGTTTTTTTATAAAAATGGTGTTTATTTTTTATTTAGAACCAATGTTGCATTTTTCTGAAAAACCAGCATTGATTTTATTTGGTATTAATATTCCTAATAAGAAAATGTTGTTCAAAGCATCGCTAGAGAAATAATGTCTATATGATGCCATTTTCTCAAAAAACAGCATCGATGCCGAACAACCACCGTAACACAAAAACTGTATTAGTGTGGGACTGTGAGAGAGCAAGCTGAAAGCACACATGAGAGATACTCCTGATAAACGGTGGGATGCAACTGTGAGGTCGGTGTGAGATACCCTTTGTGATAAGCATATCCCAATTCATATAAAACAGCGTATGAGTTAAGTTCTTGCGTTGCGTTTCCGGAGGGACGCCTCTTTGGGCTCTTTGTGGTTATGGGTTCCCCCGCCCACGGATACTGATTTTAGCGTTCACGTGGCAGTTGATAAAGCCAGATCTACTATTCATTCAATCATTCTTTAAATCAAATCTTACTCTCGCTTTTCTAATTTCTATGGGATAATTGATGGAATGGGCATGATGATGGGGTTGCACCGTTGCAAAGCAAAAGCAGCAATTTTTGTTGACGTGGATCTGATTCTAATCATCCCTACCCTTAGCCTTATCATATAAATAAATGGAAGTTTTATAAGGCTGTGTTTGGTTTGAAGAAAAAGATAGGGATGTACAGGTTTCTCTACCTTTTCCTTCAAACCAAACACAGCCTAAAAGCAATGTCACAGTATTCTTTTCTTTTTTATTAGCTATGAAAAAGTAGTTTTTTTTTTTTTTTTAAGTGATTCATTTATCACGTTTGTAAATTAGACGGTTATACCTAAGTCATGCAATTCTATCTTTTCTTTCTCCTTCATCTGTGCGTATGTAAAACAGCAAGTTTATGTTCATCTATTTTGGATGCCTTATTAGCCTTTGGGTCGAGTCAGGGTTATTCCTGCTTCTGGACCGGTTGCCTCTTTAATGCAATAACTATCTAACCCTTCTCTAGGTTAAGGAGGATTACATGTGTGTATTATTATGGTTATTGAATAAACATTAATTATATAATCGAGGGAAAGTACAGTTGCAACTCGGGCAGGGTCAGGTCAGGTCGAAGGTCAATTTATGCTCAACCATAAAGTTGCAAATCTCAGCTTGGGGCTGATCTAATCTGAGGCCAAGTCCAAGTTTTTACCTCAATCCCAACCTAAGCTTAACCCAAAACAATTCAGGTTAGGCTTAGGCTTAGATTGGATCAGACTAGGCTCGATATAGGTTGTATTTGATATTCCTTATTTTAAGGATTTATTTATTTTTACTGTTAAAATGCTTATACGAACATTGAGTTTTTAACAACAAAAAGGACATAGGTCTTTAAAGTAAGAAATGCCAAATGCAGCCTTACTCAAATTGAGCAGGTTGATTTTGAAGTAATATATATATATATATATATATATATATATATATATACTATAATCATCTTGTTTTAGATTTTATGGTCAATTTAAGAGTAGAATTGATATATTGTATACATATACACATGTATATATAATTAAAAAACATGTTTTTATATAAATATAATTCATACATATATGAAATTATTTGAATGGACTTAGGTTGAATTAGGTCAGACTCAAGCTACCTGACTTCTCAACCAAGGCCCAATCCAAATTGGGTCAGATTCAAGTTTTCTAACCCAGGCTCAGCCTGCAGACTGAAAATTTAGGTCCAACGTGTACAAAAAGTTGGGTTGAATAGAATCTTGTTGGGGTTAGGCTGGAACAAAACTTATTGCACAATAAACGGAAGAATAGGCATTAACAATATGATATATCCACTTCCAATGGGAATATATGAGATAAAGAATATAAACGAGAAAGTGTAAGCTGTATTCCCGGCAACCCGGGCAGAGTAGTATAGTTAAAGGATTTTCATTGTTCAATAATAAAAAATTAACAAACAGATGCTCTAATAATAGAATTATTATTATTTTTATTTGAGATAGCATCGCAGACGTACATCCATGATCCATCCATGTAGGTATTGGCAACATTTTATGAATGATATATGCCAGCTTTCAATATATAATAAGTGCAAAAGGGAGAGAGAGATAAATCAAAGTTGCGTTGAAAACGAAAAGAAATAAAAAGAAAGAGGAGTGGTAGCATGGTAGCACGCGCGCGAACGCAATATGGTGATTATGCAGCTTCTGCAAACCCTATTTGGAGGTTACCAAAATCGAAGACAGTGTGGTACACCTGCATGAACATATCTCCAAGGATCCTGCATGCACGTAACAATTACTAATATATATATATATATATATATATACAAAAATAATGAAGATTTAATTATTTAATTAAAATTATAACCATAATTAATTCATATAATAATTATGATCTATGTAGCTAGATTAATTTCACATACCAAAGTGGACCTCCGGGAGGAGGAGGAGGCGCATCTAGTGGGACAAACCCGCTGAGGCATGTAGTGGCATCGCCTTCACCAGTTTTAAGAATGTACTGATCATCATCCATCACACACATACACACAATTAATTAATTAAATTACATCATTCTCTTCTCTTGTGTAATACAATTATTAAGTCATAAACATACTTGTTGTGGAGTTAAGTGGAAGGAATGCTTCCCAATGGTAAATGAAACATTTGGCATATCTGGGATTCTATTGCAATCAACAAATGCTTTTCCACGTGGCAAGGGCATGTAGTCGCACAACTGAAATATGTAACAACACAATTTATTTATTTATATATACTATATAACTAATGAACGAATGAAGGTAGCTTGAGCTAAGCTTAATTAGGCATCACAAAACATTAATATAAATGATCATGAATATATATATATATATATATATATATATATATATATATATTGCAATAGAAATTGGAATTACTAGTAGTAGTAGACTGTAGTAGGTTAAATAATTACACTGCCAAGGTAGTTGAACACATAGTCCACAATGTCTTTTTGTTTGAGCAAGATTTTGACCAAAGTAACCAGCATCTTGCACATGGCGCATGGAACACCTCGAGTGGACAATGTATAACTATGGGATGATCCCTTATTCCCACTTTGGCTTCCATGATCCGTCACCATCTCAATCCCATTTCTGTTCATTCTCGCCATATATATTATATACTCAGAATTAATCACATATTTGTTTGGAGCTAATTTTTTATTTTTTAAACTTAATTTATCTTTCTAACCAATTAATATTAATTACCTCTCATGCTCTGTGCTATTATAACTGCAGACACTGATCATTGAACAAAGTTTCCCGGATTTGACCTGCTCCATCCAGTGTGAAAATTAAAACAAAAGTATAATTAGTTAGATACAATTACTTAGCCGTGGTAATTAACTGCATATTCAGATTAATGAAAGAAGTAGAAACAGAACCAACCTGTGAAAGTATAAGTTCCATCATTACTCCTCCAACCATACGCACCAGCTGTCTACATTCCATATTCGCTAGTCCTCCTGCTCCAATGGCATGATTAATTTGTGCTACAATCTCCTGAATTTAATAATGGAAGAGCCAAATAGGATAATTACCGCGCCAGGACACAACAATAGTTCAATTTAATTAATTAATCCGAAAAGATAAGAATTATTTGCTGATGAAAATAAAACAGGTCTTAATTAACAAGAAGGTATGAGCATATACAGGTGGACCAGCTATTAAAGAAGTCCCTGAATCCACGATCGCAGTACATCCACCCTTACAAATTTCTGAAATTAAAGACAGAAATATGAAATTCGAATTAATTAAGACGGAAGTTCAGTTCAATTATTCAATACGTTCTAATATTAATATTTCTTTAATTTACGGTAAGATTTTGTTAATTACCACTAAATTAAAATAATGTATATAATTAAGGCATTTGAGTTCAAATTGAATCACCTGTTGAACGGCCCCCAATAAGAAAATCACCCATTTCAACCTGGAAAAATAAGGCAGCAGAAAACAAAGTTAATTTAAACCCGTTAATTAGAGTCCACCAGATATATATAACATAGAAGAAACGAATGATTTGATTTTCTAATTAAAGCTCTAATTAAGGATTTAATTACCATAACAGGAAGGAGAAACAGTGGAAGATGATGGTCGATCATAATGGCCTAACATCTGTTTTCTTTTTAACATTTTGACATATTTCGAATTTTCATCAACAAGTATATTTTTATCATTATTGCAGCACAGCTTCGTTGTTGTTTTATATTATTCTTTCCAAACGTAAATCCTTTGATAATTAAACTCTGGGTGTCTGTTGCTGCAGTTAAATTCAGGTTTGTGTAACTCATCATAAAAAAAAAAAAATGCTATTAAGGGATAAATGCGTCATTTTCCAGTACTTTTTGTTTTGGATAGATTAATCTTACCTTTTTTTTTTCTGTGTAATAAGTTAATTTTAGGCCACAAGCTTAATTATTTTGTAATTAATTGTTTAATTACATGTATAACGCTAGCTGAAGCCATGAAGATATATAATTATGAACCATTCACCTGCCAGAAGCCCTTTTGAGCAACCGGTATATAGGTATGCTTTCCTTTAAAGTGTTTGGGATCAACACCACCAAAGATGATCTCACCCGCTTTCTCAGCCTCTGTATTTCGATTGAACCAGAAGGAGAAGACCTTGTCACGTAAAAGACCTTGTTCCCCCATGCTGTACCTGAACTCAACAAGTTACACGATTCAAAATTAAAGTTAATAGAAAACTTGAGGCATACACATGCATATATATATATGTGTGTGTGCATGGGAATTAATAGAAAACTGTTAACATGCATCCATGTGTATATATATATATATATATGTGAATATACCAGATAGGTAAAACATTTCCTGCAGATTTTTCTTGAAATCCCAACCCCATGATTCCATCAAATTCTGCCATTAACAAGGTGAGACTTCTTTCTCGTGTAACCTCAGCGAAAGTCTGAAAGAAGATAGAATCATGCATAAATTACTATCTCGCTCTATCTGCAGCCAAACGGCCGGCCCAAACCAAACATAATATATATACGTTTGGGAAAAAAAAAAAAAAAAAAGACTCCAAGCAGATATATAATTAAACAAACCCACTTGATCTTTAACGATGAAATTTCCCATTTGTACATTATCTCCGCTGAAGAAGCCAGAAATTGATCTAGACCCATAAATTATACTATAATTCTTCCCTGAATTAGAAACCATGCACACAAGAAGGAATTTGAGCATATATAGGAGATCGACATGCTTAAATTAAAGAATTGCTATATACTTATAGTAGTTGATAAAATATTGTATTGCACCATGAAACAACATTACCGATTTTTGTATATGTACTGGACCGGCCTGAAATATATTTGGAATGTAAATAACAGTTTATCTGCACGATCAAATTAAAGCTTTTTCGTAAATAATTAGTTACGTTGTTGGATATGGGTGTCAAGAATCATGATGATATGTAAAGATTAATTAATGAGCTTAATTAATACAACAGAAATAAAGGAACTCACAGAATAACGGCACTTGGATGAAAGAACCCAGAGGTTAGAACTGCCGGTGTCGAAGACAACAGTGAAGTTCTGAAGTGGTGAACCAATACCGATCTCCCCAAAGTATCGGGTATTGAGGATATTACTGAGAAATACTTTATATGCATCTGACTCACCCAACTTAGGGCAGACCAAGCGAGTTTTTGGGGACACGGTACCTGCGCCTGAACCATTCAGATTACTACAGATGTCTTTGAGGTCGATTGCATACTTGCCGCCATCTTTGCTAATAATTCTTGCAGCATTTAGAGTGTCAAGATCCAAGCTTCTCTTCTTTAAACCGATTCTCAGTAACCCATCAGCATCATCATCAGAGGAAGCAGGCAGAGGGAAAGAGCATGTCAAAGCACATAAATAGTAGATAAACAACGCAATAAACTTGGGCGTCCTCATCATGTCTCAAACTCAAAGGAGAGAGGAGGTTGCCTCTTGCTTCTTGCCTCTTGCCTCTTGCCTCTTGCTGCTGCCTGTTAGTACGTACAAGAAGGAAAATTATTGTATTAATTAAAACTCAGTCTGTATAAATACATGTGATCATGAGAGGAAACGATAATAATACCTTTATAATTTGAAATGTAAGAGCTCCGATCCCTCCCTGTAACAGCAAGAGCTAGTGTGAAGTATGTAGTTGAATCCCTTATTTTTAATTTGTAGCTCTCATTGGCTTTTATATATCAACCAAGCATGGTTGCCGTGGTATATATATAGGTATGGGATGGGGCTTGGGAGCACCGGAGCAGAGAAGGGTGGTGGGTTTCGTGGAAACAATAAAATATATAGAGAGGACAAACAAGGGATGACACAAACATGCTTCAAACTCATGTTTGGAACCTTCATTTAACAATAACATAAAAGATTCATGTATAAACATTTAATCTGTATTGTCTTTTGCCACACTCGTGTATATATATATTCACTCATTCGGCTTTCTTATTTTCAAACGAAAATGATGGCGTGGACGACTCGTTCATGCTTAGACATAAGCTGATCATGCCAATTTCAGTTTTCATGTGAAAATAATCCTAGAGCCGTTTACCAATTAAGATTAAGATTAATATTTTAATTTCCTTTCTACACAAATTCATTTTGTTTTGCTAAAACCGAAAATCATGGCCTTCGCTTCGAGGTATATATAGCTATTGTATGTAAATTTGGATATCTCTCTCTTCATGGTGCTATATTGTACACGTTTAAGCAGTTGGTTCAATCGATCGATCGATCTGCTGGGAATAAATCCATGTGGTTCCGTTTTAATTAATTTTGTTTTTCGGTAAACGAATGAGCTATATACATGCATGGTGATTGTAATTTGTAAATGTGTCTTGGATCATCTTTCTCTCTTCCTCGTCAGTTTTCTTCGTAATTAATTGTTTATGTTTCCTCCAAGTAATTAAAGCCTTCCCATTATTTTTGTTTGGTAGAAATTGCTTCTTCCACAGTTTTCAGTTTCAACAAAACTAGACAAACAATAAAAATTGTGGTGTATCATATATATATATATATATATATATATATATATATGCATCCACTTTTTCCCATTATTCATTCCTTGCACGCCATCGCCATGTTTTGGAATTCTATGCGTAAATGAGTGGCCTACGCTAGCTAATCCGTTATTGAGGAGAAGCTAGCTAGCTGGTTAGGAACTTATGAGCTACAATTGTTGAATATACGTACATACTTTTGAAAAAGCTGAAACACATAAGGGATATATAAAAGCCAAAACATAATTAAGAATTGGTTTAGTGAAGTCATTTCTTATTTGAAATGTCCATCAATTCTCATTTGGTAAACGATATATATATATATATATATGATGTCATTAATGGAAGATATATATCTTAATTAGATAGAGGGTCTTGGGATTTGGGAGACATTACCCATCCTATCGATAGGAGACATTACCCATCCTATCGATCCATGTCTAGAGATGAGCAGGCAAAATCATGTTGTTGATGCCGGACGGGAGGTCCACTGAGTACTATCTGCGTGCGTGATTTATATTTTTATTTATTTTTTCCTTTTATAGCTAGATTTTGTTTTATGTCTATCATTTGCGTTCCTTAGCTTGTACTTTAATCTTGAGTACAAAATCCTTCTCTCTCATGAAATTAACTGGGCAAATCAAACCATCCACCTCTTTCATTCTTTCCTTTTTCTCACCAATCCAAGTTTCCAGCCCACAACTCAGCCACACATCCTTTATATTGTATTGTGGGATGTGCGGTAAATAAAGTATGCGTATTTGGTTTCATTGGGCATTTATTGAGGGGGTGTTTATCTAAAAAATAATGTTTTAAACAGTTTTTTATTGTTGTTGTTGTTTGATTGAAAGTTTTGAAATATTTCAAGTCACAACTTAATAAATAAATTTTACTTTCCACTTTAGCATGAATAAACGTGTCCTGCAGTTTGGGTGTTTAATGTGGCATTTATAGAAACATTTGCATGAGTGTTACAGTGTGATTTATGCTCTTGATATTTGAGTCAATCTAACGTTCCAAACCAAAGTGGCAACAGAATTGGGCTACATCCGATTCCCTTATGCAACCGAAGATTCAAGCCTTTGACAAGGATGACAGCCATGTCCTTATCCAAAGCTTCACCATACACCAGAGTCTCCCATGAATTAATTGACCAATCCATATGTACAAACCACTCGTTACCATGCCCATGCTGTCCTTTCCTTTGCAAATTGACCGCAACTGAGAAATTCGCCGGTGGAGACGGACACCGAACAATTGATCGTGAGTCGTCGTATTGGTCCACCGACAAAACAGGGGCGGAGATTTTGCTTCTTGTTTTCGTAGCACCTTATCCAAATTGTTCATGATTTTATGAAAAACGCAATCCAATTCACCATCTTAATGCAGGCACAACAGATACAAAAGACTACTGCTAGAACTGGTACTACTCCTGGAGTTAGAGACAAACAGCAAAATATGGTCCGGGAATAAGACTAGATCCTAGATTCTAAAGGAAGGCAATCTCAGGGTCGAATGTTGAATTGAATTGATCTAGAACAAGGAGAGAGATGATAGATGGGAGGAGATAATTAAGAACAGGGCGGAAGGTGGCATAGCAAAGGGAAGGGAGAAGCCATCGAAGAAGAAGAAAGCGAAGCAGGTCTAAAAAAAAGTTGCCGGTGTCAAACAACGACTTTCTCTCTATGAGGGTGGACTTACCGGTGTCCACAATAAGGTTTTGCAAAGAAGCTCTCTCTACTAGGGTGACGGCAATCCTAAAACTGAAGAGTTGTTGGGTTTAGGGTTTTAGGTAGCATTTTTCGTTTGGAACGGTGATCCGCAATGCACCGGATCATAATCACGCCACACCAGCTCAGCAGCCACTTCATCGCCACGTAAGATGTGTTTCAAGAAATGCTGGACCGTTGGGGGAAGCAAGAATTTAAAGCTTCCCCCAACGGTTCCATTCACATAAATCAAAGTGTTTGTATTTTTTTTTTCTTTTTTGTGTGTGTGTTTATCTAAGAAACAGTATAACCAAATAGTGATCTTATAAGCAATAAACAATAATAAACGAAAATGCCTACATAGCGCCGATGTAACAGCGTTTATTAAAAAATACCTACGGAACCAAACACAGCCAAAGTGAGAATGAAATCTGGGTGTTGTTTCATTTAGCTGCCATTCTGCTCTATGCAACTTAAGAAGCTCTACCCTCAAAGTATCTTTAAGCACCCTTGGAAGAGATAAACGCCGGGGTGAGCCACCCCATGTAACCAACTCGGTGTGATATCATGATATGATAGCAAAGAAACCAACCAACCGACCATCACCAAAACGGTAGCTTTTTATTATACATGGATTGTGAGAATTGATCTTGTGTTTAATAACATAAACGGGTCATATCTTTTGGATGCTTAATGGTATCTATATGTTTTTTGGGTGCTTAATGGAAGCACACTCCAGGTAGCTTCTCTGGAATACAAGTGAATAGAAGTGCTCAACTGCCACGGCTGAACCAATGCATCTCACTTTCAACACAGAAGCCCTCCCAAATGGGCCCTTAGGCATGAACTAAACCATTGTTGGTATCTCCCTCCAATTGGAAATGCTCATCTAGGACTATCAACAGATTTCGAAAACTACTCTATCCGATATTCTATTCAATTCCTTGGATTGATTCCATCTAATTGGATAAAAATTCAAGTCCAATCAATCCTATCCAAATACGACCTGATTATGGCCATTAACAACTTATCATTAATTTGTCTCAACTTCAACTTCAACTTCAACTTCAACTTCAATTTAGGATCTGTTCATTTTTTAGAAAGTTACTTATTTGGGTAAGTTCACTTACTTAGGTAAGATAAAATTATCTCAACATGTTTTGTCAAATTTTTTCTTAAATGGAAAAATTAATTACCCCTGTAAAAGAATTATTTACCCACTTGGAAGATGAGATATCTATTTTTTCATAAATCTTACATGAATGTAAAAAAAAAAAAATTGAAAAAAATATAGCAAAAGTGATGAATAGGAAAGAACAATTATATAACATATTGACCTACTTTTCCTTTTTGACAAATGGTCAATGTGTATGATCACTTGGTCTCTATATTATCTCAATCAAAAAGGTTTTCTTTTGTGCAATCATAATTTATAAATAATGTTCCAAATAGTATTTGTTGGGAAATGGGGTCATTGCGCCACATACCAAATAGTATTTGTTGGGAAATGGGGTCATTGCGCCACATACATGCATGCATGCGAGCGTGTTGCACGGCTGCAAGCCTCCATACTCTCATCTCTTTATCTAAGGAGTGTAAATTAACTCCTATTAAAAAACTCAAAACAAAACTTGTACTTTTCCAATGTGGAACAAGTTAAAAACTGTTTTTAGTAAAAATGATACAGTGTTCATGTCGTTGATGTTAATATATTGCGAACGTTTATGCATGCTTGATTAATTGAATAAGAATAACATTCGATGTATGTTTAATACTTTGTAGAAGAGAGTAGAGAATAGAGTCATCCATTAAGGCTTCCAGCAATTTGCTGCTTGATAAGTGATGGATATATAGAAAATAATTTAAACCACTTCCAATCAACACTCAAAGATTCTATAGTCTACCATAACCAGAAACTACATGCCAGTAGAGCCAAGAGAAGAAGTGCGACAAGTCTGAATACATGGGCCGTATTGGGCCAAGCCCAATACGGGCAGAATGGAAACCTTAATAAGCTGAAGCTAGGCACTGAGGGCCTTTAACAATAGGGCTAAAAAAGATGAGTAGGCACATTTGGATTTGGGCACAACCACTTTAAAAAGTGTTTTTTTAATATTTTTATTTGGTGGATGGTTGAGAAAGTAAACAGAAAAAGAGAAATGATAAAGGGAAAGAAAAGGGAGATGAACAACTGATCAGCATAATCCTATTGGTTGGGCCTTGAAAGTTGAAGCCTCCTCAACTCAACTCAACTCAAGCCTATGGAGGAATGACTTAAAGAGGCAACAAACTCGTTTGTGCAGGTGCATACATGCATGTACTTTGTACGTATCAATCTTATTCTTGTACATCCCTCCAATTGACAGCAAACAAGAAGTCGGAATCTTGTTGGCTAAACCAAACCATGCCACTAGACAAAAGATAATAAAACATAATTAGGCCTATATTAACTTTAAGCAGCTTCAGCGAATCCTACTCGCAGAGTGCCAAAGTCGAACACGGTGTGATACGCAGCCATAAACATATCTCCAAGGATCCTGCACACATATATATATATATATATATAAAATATGTAACTCCATTATTATTATTATTATATATATGGAATATGCATGGTAATTAAGAATAAGATAATTTGGATGACAGAAATGTCGACTTACCAAAGCGGACCTCCTGGACGAGACAAATCCAGTGGGACAAAACCACTAACACACCTGAGACTGCGGCCATCCCAAGTTTTGAGAATGTACTGTTGTGGGGTGAGGTTGAAGGAATTATTTCCAATGGTAAATGTAACATTTGGCAACTCTGAAATGCTATCGCAGTCAACAAAAGACTTGCCATGGGGACTGGGCAACTCCTCGCACAGCTGAAATTATTAACACTCATCGTTTTCGTGGCTTGTTTGAGACTTGAGAGTAGATAATAAATAATTAATAGATTAATACATTACCTTGCTCACATAGTTCAAAATTTTCTCACTGCTTTCCATTTGTTTGAGATGCATTTCAATCCAATCAACTACCGTCTCACAAATGGTACATGGAACACGACGTTCCCCCAACGCTAATCCCACGCCCCCAAAATGCCGCCTTCTAACCACCATTTCAATGCCATTGCCGCCTCTATAACTGCTGCTACTTCCAAATCACATACACATTAATTAGGGCCACAGAGATAGACATCGATGCATGGATCCAATGGGCAATTCACAATTCTAATTAATTAACGAACCTGTACTTATAAGCCATGCAGAGACCGATCCTTGCACATATTTCATCCACACTACCTTCTCCTTTAACCATTATTTTGATGAAAGATATGACTAACTTACAAATGGTACATGGATCCGCTGGAAACCCTGCTCCTCTCTTTCCAACCAACGTCTCGATGCCACTAATGCGCCTCCTAATTAATTTACACTTTTACTGAATGGTCATGATTCATGATCAATAACGCACATCAACAGCATAATACTGAAAATTAAAAAAATTTCTGACCTCTCAGAATGCAGTCTCTTATCAGATTCGCAGTTACTGAACCTTGAGCATAATTTCTTAGATTTGATCTGCTACACAAAGGGTAAATATCGTAACACAGACTATGGTGATTACTAAGATTGATTCAATTCAGATCGATGGATGCATGAAACAGAAGACGAATTAACGAACCTGTGATAGTACGAATTCCATCATTTTTACTCCATATGTACGCACATATTTTCTACATTCCATGTTCACTACTCCTTCTGCTCCAATGGCCTGATTAATTTGTGCCACAATAGCCTGAAATGGAAGGGCTATTAAAAAAAAAAGAAAACTACAATGAACAGAACTAGGTTATGGTTATGGTTATGAGCGAGCGCATACACTTGGACCAGCTAGAAAGGAAGTCCCAGATTCTAAAATTGCAGTACAGCCACTCTTACAGACACCTGCAAATAAAAATATCAATTTGGAGTAGTTTTACTTGAGTTAGAAATTACAGAATAAATGGGAATGGATGCAGGTTGCAACTGTTGCAATTGCATTGCATTGCATGCAAGAAAAATTAAAAATTAAAAAAAAAAAAAACTAATATTGAACCAAATGTTTGAGCGGAAAAAGGAATATTGGCTGTGAGTTATACCAATAAAATCATAGGAAAATTGCTATATATTAAAATGCACTCACATTCTAATGATCAAAAGCAAAAAAAAAAAAAAATGTTTCTTATATACTCTTGTGCTTATATTCTAAAACAGACAAGTGAAAGCAAATCCAAATATAAATAGCTTTCTCACAGGAATAATTGACCTTACATATTCCAATCTAACATCAATGGAGCCTTGGTTTTGCAAATAACATACAAAAGGTGATTTTCTGAATGTGTTAGGATGAGAATACATCTTACATATTATGTTATAGTTGTATTTGGATAACGTTTCGGAAAATGTTTTCTAATTTTGGGTAGCAAAAAGCTGCTTTGGAGTTTGATAACATGTGATTTTCGAAGAAAAACATTGAAAGGAAAAAAACACTTGGCAATAAAATGCACAAATGCACGGTGCTTTGCTTTGGGAGGGCGAAATTATGTGAAGCCCTGCCACGTGGTCATTTTCAAACAACTATTTTGTGAACAACGTGTCAGATTAAAAGGGGTAGGCTCTTTGAAGACATGTAGATCTGTCATGTAGCAAGATGAATAGGGTACAAATTATAGGTTGACACATGAAAATGTGGTAAAACAAAATATCACAACCAAACACTTATTTAACTAACTGCACAAACATGCACTAAAATTAAATGTCCGTCTATTTTTTTTCTTCACAATAAGCTTGTCTTCATCAATTAGTTGAATAAAAACTAATACAACCGAAAAATAATAATAATAATGTAAAGTAAGTATTTGAGTTTACAATGAATCACCTGTTGAATGATCCCCGACAAGAAAATCTCCTATTTCAAGCTGGAGAAAGAATTAAAGCAGGAAAAACAAAGTTTAAGTCCTCAATGTATATGACATAAAAGAATTAAACGATGACATGACTTTTTCTAAAACAAAAGAGATTTAACATAATGGGAGTATTAATAGAGGATAATGGCCTTATGTATAACTCAACTTTTCAGTGCTTTTGACATACTTCTGATTTTCTAGAGGAGCATTAATTTCTATGGTACAACGTTTTTCTATAGTATAATTTGGTCAGAAAATTGATCACAGGACTTTCAAAAGAATTTAAAAAAAAAAGATCTAAGTAAATTAATCTAGCTAGAGTGGGTGAATACCCGTTCTAATCACTTCACACGTGCACACTCGTGTTTATACGTGTGTGTAATCCAATTTTAGAAAACAGTACATCAAATTATATCATCTTATTTATTAGTATATAAATTGAATAAATTTATTCATCATAAGTTTGTGTTACAATTTATTAGTAATAATTTTCTCATATCTCTCCTCTGGGCGGTACGTAGCTAGAGATAGGCATCCTTGATTAGGTTTAATATTAGTACATAATATATATGTATGACATTATAACAATTGTTGCTAATAAATTAAATTCAAAAACAAAAAAGCTAATTCAGTAGTAAAATGTAATGGATGATCATGCACCCACCTCCCAGCTGTAGCCGTTGCGAACAACAGGAACAAAGGTGTGCTTGCCCTTAAAATGTTGGGGATCAAGGCCACCAAAGACGATCTCACCTCCTTCCTCATCCTCTGGATTTCCATTTAACCAGAAAGAGAACACCTTCTCCCTCACAAGACCTTGTCTGACCATGCTGTACCTGAAATATATCAAACCAAGAATATCAATTAGTACTAATTAAAGGACAATTAATGAATTAATCAAATGAGTAAAATGACATTAATTAATATAGTATACCAGATAGGGAAAACATTTCCTGCAGACTTTTCCTGAAAACCCAGTCCCATTATCCCATCAAATTCTGCCATTAACAAAGCAGGACTTCTTTCTCGTGTGATGTTAGTGAACGCCTGGGAACAGAAATTGATAAGAGAAGATAAAAAGAAAATCATATATGATTAATGTATCCAATACCTATTAGCCACTGATCGTATGTATATATATATATATATATATATATATATATATATATATATATATATATGTATATTTGATCAAAATGAAAATTAATGAGACACACTGCAATAAGGGAGACAATATAAACCCACTTGATCTTTAACGATGACGTTCCCAACTTGAACATTGTTCCGGCCGGTCAACCCAGAAACTGATCTAGATCCATAACCTGTGGTGCAATTGTTCCCTGATATGATGATCGAATTAATAAACCCAAGTACAGGAAGATGACCAGTCTCAGCAAGGGATCCATACATTCATATATGCAATGAATAATTATATATAACCATGCATGGTTATGCATGAAGAATTAATTAATTACCAATATTGTTTGTAAATTGGCTGCTGGATCCGCAGTTCATCTGCGGCATGGAATTGCTGTCACCGCCGTAAATAAGTTGGTGGGTGGAACTTGCAGTATCGAAAACCACAGTGAAGTTCTCAAGTGGTGAACCGATACCAATCTCTCCAAAGTATCGGGTATTCAAGAAATTACTCAGGAAGACCATGTCGGTATTTGAATTACCCAAATTACGACAGACCAAATAATCTTTTGGAGACACTGTAGCTTCATCTGAAAGGTCCAATCTACTGCAGATATCTTGCAGTTCCTTGGCATACTTGTCCTCTTTGCTAATGTTTTTGGGGGCATTTAGACTGCTTACATCCAACCTTCTCTTCTTTAAACTGATTCTCACTACCCCACAAGAGGAAGTTGGAGCGGGTAAAGAGCAGGTCAAAGCACATAAACAGATTAACAATACAAGAATCTTCCGCGGCCTCATCTCCGAATATTTCCTGAAGTCCAAAACAACAAACCATGTATAATATCCCTACAATATTAATCCTGCAGGTCGATCTAGCATGGCATAAAAAACCTAGGCCCAATATAATCCAGCCCAAACTCCACCCCAGGACTATGGATCCAGGAGCACACACACTGTTTCTTGGGTATATATTTGTGATAACAGTGCTCGAAATAAAAAGTTCTATACATGCATGAGCAACAATTTAAAGACTTAATAATATTCAGCACAATATCAAAAGTGTACTTAGTTAATTATGAAATAAATTTAACTACAGTTTGGTTTAGATAAAAATGAATAACTAAGTTAAATATATACAGGGACACAAGAATAAAGTGAATATATATAGATTGCGAAGGCCGCAATGGACCGGGAAGGTTAAATGGGATACTGGATACCCCACCCATTCTGATCGGGATCGACAAGGGTCCGCCGAGGGGGTGGGGGGTTCGGTTATTACAACAGTACGTACTGATGCCGCATGAATCACACGTCCAATTGATCGATTGCTTTTCAGTTTTCATCTCAAATAAGTAGTAGTTTTAATTTTCCACCGAGTCCAACCGTATATATCAGATGCACTGGTAGTGGTAGAGGTGATGGAAACTCAAAGTGGAGGTGGTGATCGGTGTGGACTGTAGAGGCTAAGGATCACCGTTTCAATAGACAAAGCTTCTATTAATTGTTTTATGATATCGGTTGATGGTGGTTTATTATATGTGACGATGCATGTAGCCGTGCGGTTGGTTGTGCTCAAAGAAGAAAGTTCCTTATGGACCTTATCTGTACGTACTACACACACGGTTTGGACTATGACACTAGTGTTGGGCTTCAGGTATCAGTTACAAGTACCATTTTGATTCATCCAGACCCAGTAGTACTTGCCTTTGGCTTCATGTTCACACCCCATGTGAAAAAGATGAGAAAAAAAAAAAAAGAAATAGTAATCAATTTTTTTCCTATACTTTTTTGTTTGATCTTTAGTTAATATAATTTCTTTTTTACCAAAGAGGAAAATAGTAATCAATTCCCCCTCCCCCTCTCTCATGTCTCCCCTTTCTTTTTTTCTCTTACTAGCTAGATCTGTATCTCTAATTTCTCTCCTCGAATTAGAGATACATCGCCCATTGTCAGTGAAGGCAATAAAATAAATTAAAAATCAAAATGATTCCTATTTCCTACTGATGCAAGCAGATTAAATGGTGAACTTACTTGGATTAATTGGAAGCAGTTAACGAATATCAGTATATATACAAGATTATTAGATATTAATATCAAATTAACATGCAAAGCATATATAAAGCAAATTAAGTGCTCATCATATCATACATATGCATATGAAGTAACACGTAATGATGGATGATCACCTTACTCACAAGCAAAGTGTTGGGTGAGAAGCCGAGGAGATTTGGAAAAAGAAAAGAAAGAAAAGCTAGCTATGAGCCTATGACGCGCGGTGAGAGGAAAACATGCATACCTGATGAATTTCAGGATTGCAGCTGGTGATGAATTAGAGCTGCTCGAAAACACCTGGATGAAGATTGTATCATATTTATGAGGCTTCCGGCAGTTATGCACCTGGGGGTGGTTGTACGTATGTCTTGGTATGTTAGCACTTAGAACTCAGGGGGACCTTCCTGGAAGCAATAAAGAAATAAACAAGAGGTGAAGTGTCGACAGACCACATTCTTATTCATTTGGAACCTTCGTTTACATTAACATAAGTGGTCACCATTTCCCCCCTCTTTTGTCCCTTTCCGCCCTATTGCTGTTTGCTGTTGATCTTGCTCCTCAAATTAAATTAAGCATTCGTGGGGTAATTATAAGATTGAGATTGAGATTGAGACACAAATAGCGTAAATGTGTGAACTAAAATATCAGCTACCCCCTGTGATATGTGATATGTATGTGTGTATGTATGCAGTATGCATGTGTGTACATTCTTATTTCTTTGCGGAAAGCACTTTTCGTAACCACCAATCCAACGACTTTGAGTGTCACTTGAAAATTTGCGCAAGGGGCCGGCCGGCCGGGGTGGCTCATGCACACACTACATCACATACTGTGGACCATGGATGCATGCGCATGGGAGAGGAGAGATTGATCAGCTTAATTTCCGCTCTATGGCTTCTACGCTCAGTCCAAAAGGACTTATACGGTCATGGACATGATGAGTTTGGCCACAAGCCCCCTCACAACCTCTTGGTGCTTCTCCGCACCCACTGTGGCACCACCTTCCATGCTCCGTCTTCAATCTTCTAAGGCCCAGCTCATCAGTTTATGAAATCATGACACTGGTTTTGGGGTGCAGGTTCTGCTTATCACAGCGTCCCAACTAGATCTAATGTGGCATGCATGTTGTTAGAGTAATCATTAACAAGCCCTATTCATGATGTCAATTGGATGTGTTTGGATTGATCTTCTATCCATCCATCTGTAGTTCGTTCTGAACCTTCAATCCCCCCTAATGATATAGTTAAATATATAAAATTCAATGGATAGAAGCCAATCCAATTCCAAATCCATCTTCATACATCCCAAACCCATTAACCTTATATTAATGCATAAAGCCACATGTTTCGGGTCATTCTGGACTTAAATGTGATACCTATATATATATATATATATATATATATATATATAGTAATGTGATGCATCAGGTCAATCGAAAATGTGGCGGCAATCTTTGATTTGGCCATTTGATACACAAAAATGCAGAAACCCCTTCCAAATGAACTCACCAGGATGGCAAATTCATCATTCATATCTGAAAAAGTGCTGCCTATCACAAAATGAGGGATTCCTATACTTGTGTAATGAAGTTAAGGGGGCAACTCGGTGGCTTGGGTTGGATTGAAGGCCATTCCAGGCCCAATCTGAGCTTTATCCAATATAATTCGGGCTTGGGCTCGGCTTACATTGGGTCAGGTTTATGAGTGATATTTTGAAACAGAAAAAGCATGTATTTTTAACGAATTAGTAATTAAGTATTTCATTGTTGCTTTACGGGTTTGAATCACCTAGACACCAGAAAAGGCATGCATTTATGAATTGGATTTGAATCACCACATTGCTTTTCAAATTCACACTCACATTTAAAAGTTGAAAAGCTAGCAATGCAACTTTTAATTCCGTTTTTCATACCCCGGCAAAGCTTAGAAGGATTATGTTAATCTTCTTATTCTGAGAATTGGATAAATCTGATTGTTTTTTTTTTTTTTTTTTTTTTTAATTTTCTTTGTTGGGGTGAGTTTTGAGAGAGTGACGATGAGTGCTTTTTGTATTGGGCATGGGGCAAGGTGGGCTATGTCCTCCCCTGTATACAGGCCGATACGTATCATGCCGATGACTTTTCGATACACCCCTCCAGGGGTTGTATTGGATCAGCCACTGGTTCAGAGGGTAACTGGGCCTTAAACCGACCCCTTTGAACCGGTTTTGATAAAAATAAGTAAAACCTAAAAAAAATCGACCCCTCTAGGTGTATCGGGCATATATATATAAGAGATTTTCTTGGTGATATTATTTTTATCGAGATGTATTTCGAGCAAGACTGTTGAATGGAAGTGCCTTGTCGTATAGAGAAATGAAAACGTTTAAGTTCATCGCCTAAAAGGGTTGTTAATACTTAGCTAGAATCATTGTTAATGAAAATCTAGAGAACCCAAAATGGCTATCAGTTAGTCAATTGAAAGGCTGTTCGTTTCAGGGATCCTTTGGGAGGGCTTCAGCATTGATTGAGTTGTGTTCACCGATACACTTTTGAAGCAGCTATCAAAATTAGTTTAGTTGGAAAATCAATTTGTCAGATCAATGAAAGTGTTTTTGAGTTTTCCTGGTTTTTCACCAAACATAGTTTCACAGTTATCGATGTGGGGCTTATGAAAGTCAGAAATGGGTGTGTAAAAGCCCTTCCAAACAGGCACTCAGGCCCTTTTAAAAGCCTATGTTTCAAAGCTGCTGAATCGTCAGTTCAGTTATCCCAAATGGGCCCTTAGAGAACTTAGACTCGTAGCAAAGACTTGCTGTCACAGCCCAATGGGCTCCATACTTAATCCGCATCATCCTGTATTCATGTAACAAGTTTTTAGTATAGATAAGTTCAATTTTGGAGCATGACGAAGTCAACCCCTTCTTCTACCACAAAATTTAGTTTGAATATCCATCAAGCCAACACAACTTAATAAAAATTGGGCTCAAAGACTTTTTGAGAGATGTCAATTAAATTAAGTTAACAATGAGGATGATTGGCATATTTTCCAGTGGGAGAGGCTATAACCATTTGAGAGATCGATGTTTGTGAACCCTTTTTTTTATTTTCTCATATATATAAAAAAATTTAAATAAAATACAATGAGCATCTCATCTCCGATGATTTTCCAAGATACATGATATATACTTTGTTTGTAGATGGTGTATGGAGGGCGATTGTAACATTAATTCAATGATGTGTTTGCTTTAGGGATGGGTGGAAATCTTCTATTGTGAAAGTAATTGTATTGTACGTATTTCTAATCAGTAGAAAGTAATACATAAGGAGAAGGAGAAGCCTGTATAATTAATTGCAGTGGAGTCTGGAATAAATATAGAGTTATAATAGGTAGGTGCAGGAGGCAAGGCAACACAATGCTCAAGTATGCATTATCCTTCTTCCTCTTGCTTAGTGCTTACTACAAGAATACAGACAGATAAATAATTATGTATTCACGTATTGATGACTATATATTTGTAGCCAAAATTGAAATAAAATAAAAAATCAATGCATGCTTGATGAACACATTTATTTTTTGTTTGTCATCTTTACATCCATCAACGAGGTTGGTGGTTGCTTATTAGCTAGCTAGGCCTAGGCAGCTTCTGCAAATCCAACTCGGAGATTACCAAAGTCGAACACAGTGTGATAGGCTGCCATGAACATATCTCCAAGAACCCTGCAGTGCAGCATGCATGCATGCAACGCAAACCAAATCCAAATATCATTAACACATGGGACGTGCAATATAACTTAATTAAATTGTGTTGCCTTTTTTTTTTTATTTATATAAAACTAGAACTAAAACTAATTAAATGCATGATGGAAGTGGATGTACCAAAGGGAACCCCCAGAAGGAGCAGACATCTGCAGTGGGACAAAACCACTCACGCACGTATTAAAATGGCCTTCTCCGGTTTTCAGTATGTACTGCATATGTGAAACTTTTGTTAATTAATTTATTTGATTAAAACTGAAAACCATATATGTACACATCACATTATTTAATTAATTCAATCCACACCTGTTCTGGAGTGAGCAGGAAAGTTGCATTTCCAATGGTAAATGAAACATTTGGCAACTCTGAAATGCTATTGCAGTCGACAAACCACTTCCCTTGGGAATTAGGCATGTGGTCGCACAGCTGATGCACATTAATTGAACAGACATCATCAATTACAAAATAGCACAGAATCCCCTGTGTTATGTGTTATATATATATATATATATATATATATATATATATATTACGTACCTTTCTGACATGGTTCAATATTTTATCATTGGTTTCCATTTGTCTGAGCTGAAGTTCGACCCAAGCAACCACCATCTCACAAATGGCACAGGGAACACCTTCGCCCACCCATGCCCATGATCCCTCCACGCCCTCTTCTTGCCTTCCAACTACCATTTCAATGTCATTTCTTCTTCTGCTTCCAATAATTAATATATACTAATATTACATGTATGCAGTACCTCCAATTCCATATATATATATATATATATATAAATCAATTTAGAGGAGCTGGAGCTAATAGCTAGGGACATGAAATTAATTATTAAGACGACATACGTGGTGGCTTTATTAAATATGCAGAGGCCGATCCTTGAACATATTTGCTCCGGTTGGACCTGCAACTCCAACTCCACTAGATTAATAATGTAGGTCAATGCATAAAATATATATATTTATTAAATTAAACGAGTATTGTGATCGATTATATATAAATTTAAAAGAAATATATTTAATTAATAAGCACATCATATATATATATATATATATATATATAAACGAATTAATGCATGCACCTTTGCTATTAAGAGTTCAATAATTGCCACTCCGAAGTTACGCACAACTTCTCTACACTCCATTCGCAACATTCCGGTTGCTCCTATGCCATTATTAATCTCTTCCACTATGTCCTGATAAGGGCCGTATTAATTAATGATCACTATAATAATACCAAATTATTTAATAGACAATAGCTACGAAGATATAATAAGCTTATACACTTGGGGCTGCAAGTAAGGAAATCCCTGAATCCACAATTGCTTTGCAACCAGTCTTACAAAAACCTGCAAAGATAACATATAATGTAATAATAATAATAATAATAATTAATATGATGATGATGAACTCTACTTCTTCTATTACTACATTAATATGCCAATCAAGGTTGCAGTCTGGGCTTCTAATTAATTTGTTTCCACCTACCACTGTTACTTGGATGCTACCTAATTAAAGGTAGCAAATGGATCCATTAATTGCAATCAAGGTTACATCAACGGATCACATCCAGCTATACAATCCGAGACTATTATCAAATCTTTGGATTTTGATCGCATCAGATTTGGATTTAATCCACATCTACCTAATTAATTGTGATCAAAATGATAAAGAAAAATATTATAAATATTGTAAAAAATTAGTTACTTTTAATCTACATCTTTATAATATTGAATTTATTAACTATAAACATTATACTATTGTATATATATGTAAAATAACAATTTTTAATCAAATTCAGATTTTATTTGAATCGGATATGTTAAATCCACATCTCATCTTTAGATGCTCTATTTTCTAACATGTGATAATCAGATTGGATGTCAAATAAGATATTAAACTTTTGGAATCCATTGACCGCCATCCTATAGGAGGGTGTCTGATTATTTAAGCGATATTTTTGCATGCCATGACAGCCAAAGGGTTTTGACCAATCAAAACCCACTTATGGATTTTAATAAATAACACCTGATTGAACTATCTTATGATTCCAACTGATTAATCAGAAAATTTTTGAATATCATATCTTTCCAATATCATAATCCATCCCACATGTGGTACATATGCCATGAGAACTTACAGCATGGGGTTGTGTGGTACCAATCAATTTTCATATGCCATGACAGTATTCTATTTCAGGTACAAGCAATTGCCTATAAAAGGAGTTAATAGAACAAAATGATAAGTGGTACATCACCTGTTGAACGGTTCCCAATAAAAAAATCTTCCATTTCAAGCTGCAGAAACAAAGCAGGCAGAAGCAAATGTACTTAGGGTCCTTTGTATTTATTATGATTTAAAAGAAACAGATGGTATATATGCTTTTTTTTTTTTAGAATAATACAACTTCAGTGGAAAGTTGGAAAGAAAGAAAGAAAGAAAGAGACAAACAAACAAAAATTGATCGTCACGACAATAGCCAGAGAGAGAGAGAGAGAAAGGGGATAAACGGTAAAAAAAAACAGCTCAAAACTAAAGTTGCAGTTTATATTCCTACACTTTCACTTTTCAATTATTGAAGATGAAATCCTACTTACTTCGTCCATCTGAGAAGAAAAATTAATATTGGAAATGTTGGAAGAACAATAATGAATCAAAGGGCTAGAATCGAATTAAGAAAAGAGAAAGAGAGCATTAAATAATATTGGAAACAATAAGAAAAAAATGAAATAGGTAGGTAGGAGACAAATAAAACAAAATTAATTAATCAGAGCCGGGTAGACGACCCACCTGCCAAAAGCCCTTCTGGGTAAGCGGAACAAAGGTGTGCTTTCCCTTAAAGTGGGTGGGATCAACACCTCCAAAAACGATTTGACCACCTTCCTCTGCCAATGGATCTCTATTTAACCAGAAAGAGAAGACCTTCTTGTCCACAACACCTTGCTTAGCCATGTTGTGCCAAATAGGTGTAACATTTCCTACAGATATTTCCGTGAATCCCAGACCCATTATCCCATCGAACTCTGCCAAGAACAAATTCATACCTCCTTCTTTTGTGATCTCAGTGAAAGTCTGAAAGCAAGAACTAATGCAATCAACATTTATATATTGCATTACTCCTAGCTATCTATTTATTACGTTGATCATAAATGTTACTTGAGAAATTAATCTCAAATTACAAGTAGAATGTGATTAACCCACTTGATTCTTGATGATGGTATCCCCAATTTGTACATTATCTTGGCTGAAGAAGCCGAAAAGTGATGTAGATCCATAATTTATTTGGCATCTGTTTCCTGAAACCCAAACAAATTAAAAGAAGAACCTGAGCAGCAAGGCACATATAAATTAAGGAATTGGAGCACCATATATATATAATCATTTTTATGCCACAGCCCATTTCCACAATTAAAGTTATACATAATATTACCATTTTTTCTGTATGTGTTGGACCAGCCTGAAATATATCTAGAATGGAAATAGCAATTGATCTGCATGGAATAATTGTACATCATTATTATGATTAGAGAGAGAGAGAGAGAGAGAGAGAGAGAGGATGGAGGTTATATTACAGATAGAAGGCATTTTGATGATGGAACCCAGAGGTTGGAACTGGCAGTATCGAAGACAACAGTGAAGTTCTGAGGTGGTGAACCAATACTGATCTCGCCGAAGTATCGAGTATTCAAGTAATTACTCAAAAATACTGTATCCGTAAATGAGTTACCCATGCACATTAAGTAATTCTTTGGAAACATGGTATACGAATCACCCAAATTTCTGCACCTCTCTCGTACATCCTTCACATACTTGCTCCCTTTGCCAATAATTCTTGCAGCACTTAGACCCTTCAGGTCCAAGCTTCTCTTCTTTAAACCGATTCTCACCAGCCCATCAGAGGTTGCAGGGAGAGGGAAGAAACAGCATGTCAAAGAAGATACCCAGATAAACATCATTACAAACTTCTTCGCCCTCATGCTTAATTCAATATATATATATATATATATTAATTGCCTGAACAACACAACATTTATCAATCAAAACTATAATCAAATTAAACAAATTCTTCCACTGAAACAATGGTGACTATTCAGAAACATATCAACAAAATACATCTATGAGCAGCACTAAAGAAGAATGGAAAAAAAAAAAAAAAAACTTGCGGAAGAACAAAATATTAAAGTCTCTGGATGCAGCTGGGAAAACTGAAACAATCTGTAATATTTTTCTGTTTATTCAGTATTTTAAAACGCGAAAACTCGCCTCACTTCCTAACCAATCAAGCAGATCGATGGCTCGGCAGACTCTCAATTCACAAATCACTAAAAATTAAACTAACAAAAGCGTACACGGCTAAAGAAAAGAAATTAAAACCAGGTTGGACCATATTTTTCCACCTCCATTTCAGCCTAATATTCCACCTCAAGTAGCCTATTACATGCAAAACATGTACCAGAGGGAATATATATATACATAGATGTACATGTTTTTCATATATAGTAATGGCGAGAGAAATCATATACGTACCTTATTAGTAAGCTAGCTTCAGTTAGAGGATGATAGGATAAAAGATCCACAAAAGAGCTGATGGAGAGAAAGAGAGAATTATTTGCAACTTGCTATTTTCTCTATTTATTGTATATAACTATAATTAACCAGGAGACTCTTTGAAAAAAAAATTTGTTGAATCGTTTTTGTGTTGTTCAAGGATGCAAAAATCATCAAAGAATATCAAACCAACTGGGGTAGAGTATTAGCAGTAGACCAAAGTTGTAGGCCCAACAGGACTCAAAAAATGAGTCGATGATGAGAACAAGGGAAATTAAAGGGGAGCTTCGTGGAAGGAATATAAAGAATGAGAGGACAAGGAAAACGTAAGCTTTGGAGCCATACAAAGTACAGGAGTGAAGTTGGAACCTTCGTTAACAAAAACGAAAGAGGTAATCCATTAATTTCATATACATGGTCATTTATGTAGGGTGATCAATGTGGAATAAAAATTTGCTTTTCTATATTAGGCAATTAAAACAAGTGGAGAAAAAACATACATATAACCTTAATTATTTAGATTGCGTATAATTATGAGAGTGGGCAAGGCATGGTTCTGTGTGTGAGACTAGCTTGTCAACAAATAAAATGTCCAAATTATCAACCTTAATTATTTGAATCTTCAATTTCACATCTAACTCCATGTGTTAACTACATCCGTCTTATTTTATTCATGTAACGATAGATGATGTCACATTCATAAAGAGCCGACCTTATCTTCTATCTTGCGAAAACTTTCAACTCACCACATTATTTTCTACTTCTACTATAAAATACGATTTCATCTGTTTTATTAATATCAAACACAAATGGCCTGTAGTTGATGTAAAATGGCGGAGAGGTCGAGGGAAATCGATCAGTCCAATGCCATTAAAAACACACATTGGAGTTGAGCATATTTGTATGTAGTTGGTACCACTGTTTTCAAAACCGGATTGGATCTGATGGTCGGACCTGAAAAAATGGGAATCAGTCACCTGATCGGTTTTGTTTTCCTCTAAAACTGTTTTTTCCTTCAAAACCGTGAACTTTGGTCAACAAACCGCTGAATCAGTCAATTAATCGTTTGAATCATTCGAACCGTTCAAACGGTTTTGACCATTTTCTAATTTTTCTAATTTTTTTTTGTCAGAACAGACCGATCGTTCGAATCAAACGGTCGGACCATTCAAACCGATAACCGGACCCCTGGCCAATTCGGTCAGCAGTTCGTTTTTAAAAACCATGGTTGGTACAAATTAAACTGCTCCGAAAAGCATTTCCAATTTGATTAATGCTTCCAGACACTAGTTATGAGTTATGAATTGTGGCATATAGAAACAACAATGAGATTCAGCCCAACATCAACTGTGACCGGCTGCTAGAATCAGTTCTCCATATTCTGCCATAATGTTAATATAGTAATGGGAAAATAGAATGTCAAACAAAACCCGAAAACTGAATTTCGTGAGCGGTAGAGGTGCAGCCTCAACGCACTATAATTGTTTATAAACATATGTGTCTGTATTTTGTAAACTATCAGAGGAAATGATCCTCTGTTTCTGTTTCTCGTATCTCCACACATAAATCAATTCGTCAAACCATGGTTTTCAAAACTGGATCGGACCGGAAAAACCGGTAATCGGTCAGGTGATTGATTCTACTTTTTTTTTTTTAAATTGGATTTTTCCTCAATCGTTGATTTTGTTCAGCGAATCGCTGAATCGGGTGGTTAATCATTTGAACAATTTTGACCATTTTTTATTTTTTTGTCAGAATGGTTCAAGCGTTCGATTCGAACAATCGAGCTGTTCAACCCGGTAGCTGGACCCCTGACCGGTTCGATCACCGGGTCGATTTTAAAAACCATGCATCAAACAACCTCATTTAATTAGTAAGGGCAAATGCTAGTATGTAGGAATTAATTTATGATGTGAAAATTAGTGTTACTATTGTTTGCTTCTTTTGGGTGGTCTCCGATGAGTCTGTCGGTCACTTTGGTGATCGTTGTTGTGTGGATCGTTTGTACAGTATAAATAAATACAAAATACAAGATTTTGTAGTCTACAAGATCCCTTGATGTTTAATATTGTGGCTGAGATTGTTCACTTGTCCCACGAAAGACAGTGATTTCCATATGATACTAGTATGACCCGTGAGTAAAGTTTTGCCTCAAAAACAATGATTCTATTATTGTTCTTTGGGCTTCAAAAAATTATTGCACTTGAAGGTGATTTTTGAAGCTCCCACAGATCAAGAACAGTTTATTCTCAAAGTCATTATTGACACGGGTGTAACATATCTCAGTGTCTCCTAAGGATACAGTCTTGAGCCTAGGGCTGCAACTTGGATGGCCCCAGCCCAAGTTTTTGCACGGGTTGACCTAAATTTGTGGGCTGCTAGCTGGGCCTGGGCCAGAAAATTTGGGTCTGCCTACCCAAGGCCTCAACCCAAGTCTAATCCAATTCAACCCCAGGTCAGCCCAACGTGAATCTGTCCAAATAAATACATACATAAATGCATATTGTTTATATAAAAATACTATATCATTTTTCAAATATATATATTATGATTAAACTGGAATCCAGATCTGCTCCCAACAAATGCACCAACCATCCTCCCAACTAGCCACTAGAGCCACACATCAGGTGTATCTTGTCATTCATGGGGAGATGTCCCCGATGTATGGTTGTAGTGACTTGTTGGGGAGATTATTAGGATTTAGGAGCATATTCAAGCTCCTTAAATTGGACCATAAAGCTGAGTAAAATATGAGTATATAAAAAATATATCGAAACTTTATCAGCCCACCTAAATTTAACTGAGCCGTGCTGACCCAACCCAAGCCCAAGCCTAATCCGAGTTGCATTAGACTAAACTTGGATGTAGCCTGGATTGATAGACTTGGACCTGACCTTGGGTTGGGCAATGCCGGAACACAAGGTTTGCACCTTTAGAGTTAGGTCTGGATTGACCGTTAACCCAACCCAACCTGCCGAAGTTGCATCCCTATTTGAGCCAAACACCCACTACATTTGATGGATTTAAAAAGCAAACCAATGTCTAGACACATTCACCATAGCTGTGTTAGCGTAGCTTGAGACTTTGTAAAAATTAGATGCTTTTTTATGGCAGTTTCAATTTTGTAGTTTAAGTAGATTTCAACCCCAACTCACTTACACATCTAGTCTAGTGGCAAAAACGAAACCCTGTTTCATTCCACTGCACAAAAATGAGAGAAACCCCATCTAGTCTAGTGGCAAACTGGCAAATTAAGTAAGAGCATCTCATGACGACTCATGTACACCACGATACCACGTATGATCATTACATTGCTTCTTTCCATATATTTTTACATTATAAGAGCTTCCATGTAGGTACTAGGTAGGAGCTAGCAACCTTAATTTGCTGATATAACATATGCATATCTGAAGTTCTCAAGTGCTGGAAGGACGGTCACTTCCTCCGATCCGCCCCTCATCATATCCACTGATCACCAACATAAAATGACTCCAGCCTTCTACCTCTGCTAAACTCATCACATACTGAGACTAGAGCAGTAGAGCCAAGAGATTAGATATAGGCTTATTAGTGTTATCAAACAGCTTCCGCAAATCCAACTTGGAGATTATTGAAGTCAAACACTGTGTGATACACTCCCATGAAAATATCTCCCAGAATCCTGCACCCATAATTTTTGTTTTCCGTTAATTAATTTCTAAATAATAAAACCACAAGAAAGACCAAAATAAGCATGAAGCCAGTTTTACTTTTGATCCATGTTAGTTTTACTTTGGGTTTTAAATTATCACAAGAGGATCACATGATGACACCCATCTTTCATAAATAAATAAAAGGAGAAATAATTCATTCATTCATTCATTAAAGTAATGAAAAGCTTAAATAATTTAGATAAAAAAACAAGTCATATGGTAAAAAATAATAAATTATTTACTTAATAGCAAAAATAATTAACCAATTAATAATATGATCGAATAAATAAAGGGAGATTAATTTAGTAAGAAAACAACAAAACAATTTCTTAGATAATTAATAGAATTATTAAAATAATTAAACAGATAAGCCATGTGGCAAACATGATGTGGCCAAGTGGAAATTAACATGCAGCCATTTGGCCTTATATAATCCATATTTCACTTAGGAATGCTTGACATGTATATGTTTACTTTTGCCAAAGCCAAAGTACACACTACACGTACGGTAAAAGCCCAAAAAGCAGGATTATATCTGATGATGAAGAAGATTTGGCCCAACCTCGCAATCACTCTACGTGGCAAAAACGAATAGCTCGGCATTTAAAACAGCGTACCCAGGGCGCAAATACCAAAGGGAAGAAACCAGCAGTCCGAACTCCCTTCGAGGAGTCCGAACTCCCTTCGAGGAGCCCAAACTCCCTACGAGGAGCCCGACCTCCCTACTAAGAGCTCGAACTCCCTACGAGGAGCCCGAACTCTCCCTTAGGCCCCGAGCCACACAAAGCAGTGACCCAAACTGGCCCGCCTCATGGCAGTTCGGGACACTCCCCTATCCGAACTCAAGACTTTACCTCGCACATCACTCCAGCACTTCGCCTCCAGGGCGCCGAACTAGACAAACCACACCGTACCTGACACCGAAGGAGTCCGTATCCAAGGGCGGCACACCTGACTGACTTGGGATCTGACGCTTGACAGCCGCACTTCAACGGCCACCTGCCACCGCCACCTACCACCGCCATCTCCAGTTATAGAGACGACTCCGACAAAAAGAGCAGTGGCGGTTCTGCCCCAGCAGAGGTGATGACACCCGAACTAGCAGAAGCACGGAAGTAATCATACCCGACATGACAGAAGCTTAGGAGTGAGTGCGCGAGGTGGTTATAAAAGGCTCTCTACCCCCCAAGAACAAGGTATGCAAACTTTGCGCTATTTGGTTTTATCTTGCTTTTAAAGGATTCTAACTTGAGCTTCGGAGCCTTTACACTGGGTTCCCCCCGGAGCTTCCTCATTTTCTCCGTTTCAGGTTCCCTGTAATTCAGTTCAGAGGCAAGGTCGTTGACAACTAAGATCAACCGGATTGCGCACCGTCAATATCCAAACAGCACGTAAGTTAAAATGCCGTAAGAAGAACAAACCCAACATAACTATAACTAGGAAGGCGTTTCTATATATGGTTTTGCTCTTGATTTTCTGGTCTTGGGTTTCTTGAGTTCGGTTGTTGGTAGTTGTCTTATGGGGGTATTTCTTTCTCTCCGGTGATACCAATACCCGGATGGCTAGGAGCAATGTTGGGTAATAGCTCGATCTGTGCTTAGATAATGTTATTGGACCCCCCCATCCAGGCATCCACATTACCTCGTGGCTTTGAGATTCTTTCCCAACTCACACACCATGGAACAGGAACCGTGTAAGAAAAGAATCAAATGTTAAGGGTAACAAATCCAAATGCTGCACACCAGGTCCACACTATAAGCATAAACTGCAGAGTATTATCACATACCAGAGTGGACCCCCAGGAGGCGGCAAATCTAAAGTAATAAACCCACTGACGCAGACAGTGAGACCCCCCTGACCAGTTTTAAGAACATACTGAAAAGAAAAAGAGAAGAAAGACAAATACAAGTTAGACAAGAGAAATTTCAAATTTTCCAAATAATACAACAAAGATATGTTTGGAGCAAACTAATGTAATAAACCCACTGATACAGACAGTAAGATATCGCCCTTACCAGTTTTACTGATGAAAATAAAAAGAGAAGACAAATACAACTTAGACATGAGAAATTTGTCAAATCATAAAAGAGATCAAAAGGCATGTGCTGGAGTGGATTTGAACATTTTCTCTTCAAATTCAAAAATTGGCGAAGCCCTTAACCTCAAGCAAATAAATAAAAAAAAAAACAAGTCAAAACTCATAACAAACCGCACCTGTTCTGGAGTGAGGATAAAGGCCTTGCTCCCAATGACAAATGAAACATTTGGCAAGCTTGCAAGGCTACCACAGTCAATAACTGACTCTCCTGCACGACTTGCTGGCATGCTCTCACACAGCTGAAACAAAATTCAAAATGGCTCGAGATTTTATTATCAACCTGAAGCTCTGCATCAAGTTAAATCAGGGTTCTGGAAATAAATGACCTCACTGACATAGTGGAAGACTACATCCTTAGTTTTGTTTAGTCTAAGCTGGTTGCGAATCCAAACAACGGCCATTTCACAGGCGGCACACAGTACAGTACTCTCACCAGACAATGATTCCTCGCTGCTTTGCTTTTCAACAACTGTTTCAATATTGGCGCTGCATGGAATCAGGTTTCAGTTTCAGTAAAGTGAGAATTAAAATTGATCAAATCATGTACATAAAAGACTTCCTGACCTCACTTTCTGATCCCCATTGAAAAAGCATAGACCAATCTGTGAACACACTTTATCAGGTCGCACCTGCAAACAAGCCATATATTTACTCTTTTTTTTTTTTGATAAGCAAAGTGTGATGTATTTCATTCACGAAAGGAGGGCGAGACACCCTCAAACATGTACAAAAGCACCTTCAGAAGTACATTTTACACCCATTTATGCAATTAGAAAACTGCATCAAAAAATGATATATAAAATTCCACCTATTCAAGAAACTATGTATTGGTGGCTTGCCCTCCTTTATGGAATGTAAAATGATAATTTGATTGTCAAGAAAATTTTTCAAAGATAATGAGAAATAGTGAATGGAGAAATAAAATACCCCTGCTGTTAAGAGTTTCCATATCAATTCTCCATACTGAGACACAACTACTTTACATTCCATGCTCACAACTCCTTCTGCTCCAATGGCATGGTTGATTTGAGTCACAACAGTCTGGGATTGAAGATTGACTATAGAAGATCAGAGAAAGCAATGCACAAAGGAGAATAAAAAAAAATAAAGAAATTAAGAAAAGAAAGGGAATGGGGCAGAAGGAACAGAAAATATGAATCAATCATGAATATATTTCTAGGAATGAATAACCAATTTGTTAAGATGTAAAATTGCATACAGTTGGACCAGCTAGTAAGGATGTTCCAGAATCCACTATAGCAGCACAACCATTTTCACAAAATCCTGAAAAATACAAACCCAAGAGTTTATAAAATCTTGTTTACTTCACTTCTATCAGTAAAATTTGCTATGGCACAGAGAATCAGAATTCCAGTTTTTTAATGCAACACCCAATAACAACAGTAAAATGTTATTTTAATCCCCTTTTCTTTTAATGATGTTGATTCATTAAACAGCAATGATATCTTCACTTCTCAATCCTTTGCTCAGTCTTCTTGAATAATCTCTAATTCATAAATTATAATAGAATCAGTCAACTATCCTACAAAATGAAGCAGGATGGACTTGTTATAGTAATACATCACCTGTTGAATTATTCCCAATAAGAAAGTCTCCCAACTCAAACTGGAGAAGGAAAATAAACACAATATATAAGATCATCTAATGATAAAAAAAGAAATAGCACACTGTGATGTAAACAAGATTAAAATTCACCTGCCAGTATCCCTTTTTAGTAATGGGAACATAAGTATGTTTTCCCTTGAAGCGTCTATCATTAACACCACCAAAGACTATCTCACCTCCTTCCTCTGCTTCTGGATCTCGGTTGAGCCAAAAAGAGAAGACAGCATCATTTACAAGACCTTGCCTCACCATATTGTACCTGTTGCCAGAACATGAATCAGTATAACCAGTCCATGCCATTGAAAGTGAACAGAAATAAAGAGTAAGAGTGATTTCAGTTTTCTACAAAAAAAAAAAAAAAGTGTTAAAAAATAAGAATAATAGTCGGATTGTGTGAAACTATACCAGAAGGGCACAACATTGCCAACAGAAATTTCTTGAAATCCAAGACCAAGTATGCCATCAAACTTTGCTAGTAAGAAAGAGAGACTTCCTTCTCGTGTGGCCTCTATGAAAACCTGAAATATTGTTGCAATACATCCATGACCGCTCAATACAGCCAAATTACAGGGGACATATTTGAAGTTAAGACTGAAAAAAGAACCCACTTGATCCTTAATAACAAGATTCCCAACTTGAATGTTATCTTGACCAAAGAAGCCAGAAATTGATCCAGATCCATAATGAATATTGCAAGAATTTCCTGATCAAAATTCACAGCAATTTTAGTGCAGATTTTCTTGATAGAATATTTATAATCTTTATTATACTAACAGCCTTATAACTCAAGATATCTAGAGATCATGAATGACTAAAGGATGTTTCCATGGAAAGGTTACCAATCTTTGTATATGTACTTGACAGGTCTGCCTTGAACTTGGAATGGAAATAGCAAGAAATCTGCATAGAAAAAATATTAATCGTAAAAGAAAATCCTTGAAGATGATTACAGAAGATGAAGAGATTTGTATAGAAAACGTACAGAAAAGTAGCACTTTACTGATGGGACCCAGAGGTTGGAACTTCCAGTATCAAATATGACAGTGAAGTTCTGTGGAGGAGAACCAATACCAATCTCTCCAAAGTATTGGGCGTCCATATAGTTCTTCAATGATACTATATCTACATCAGAACTATCCAGATTGCGAGGGAGGTTCTCTAGACCATCTGCATACCTGCCTAGTTTCTTCGCATGTCTTGCGGCATTTATACTAGTAGGATCCAGTTGCTTCTTTTTTAAACCAATTCTCACTAACCCGCCATTAGAAGAAGGATGGAGTGCTAAGGCATATGTCAGGGCCGACAAACAGATAAGTAACAGAAGAAAATTTTTCGTCATGTTTAATTTCCCTGGTTACAGAACAAATAAACGATATGTTATTGGAAGGGTTGACCTGAACCCAAAATTCTGACTAGCCAAAAAAATTTGAAGCCTCCAAAACTTGAAATTGACATAATAGAAGTTATATAATTGATATTAGAAGGATGAAAATACTCTTGGGTAGCAAATGCTTAATTAAGAATCAGAATTACTTAATAATTAAATTCGATAAACCCAGAAAAGGGACAGAATCATGCTCAAAGAACACTAGGAACCATGCTCAGATTAAATTGATATAAGTCTACACACAGACACACAGAAAATGCTAAAATAAAAGGATATATAGAAAAGAATACTGAAGATGATCAAAAGAAGAATAAAAACTAAAATGGAAATCCTCAGCAAACACATTGTATCTAGAAATCCATGAAATATTTTTTTTTTCTTTTTGAAAAGAAAAGCAATTAATCAACTGAAAACACTGAAAAGAAAACCTTGCCCAGCTAGAACAATAATCAATTGAAGAATATTTTCATCCTTGAAATGCCTATGGTTCACAGAGACAGTAATTTAATGAACTAAATACAAAGAAAAATGTCATAAGCCTAACTAGAATATTATTAACCAACTGAAATAATTATAATAATCTTCTTGATTGTTGAAATGATGATAGGAGGGTATACCTTAGTGAACTGAAGCAAGTAGGAATGTAGAACTGTTTTTAGGAGATGAATTCCAATAGGAAAAAGGAAGGAGAAAGGAGGAAGTTTTTAAGGCTGGAGCCTGGAGCTGCTCTCAACAGTACTGTTAGGAACAGCAAACAACGACTTCAGTGTCAGTGTCATGTCACAGTGGCGAATTTACCCCCGTTTTGATTGGGTTGAAAACACCAGGAGAGGAAGCTTCCCGGAGAATAATAAAATGCAAAGTGTACGGTTGTACGAGCTTTAATTTATAACGAAGGATGTTTCTGCTGGTACGTTCAATGGATGGAGCTTTGCCTGTAACAATGTTAATAATGTAAATGCTTGCGGACAACTCTACCTTGTTGTATTAATGTTTTAATCGAGCATGCAGCAAGACATGTACGCGATGGGGGTTTCTTGCAGATCCCGACTCCTCACACCTCACCGAGTCCCAAGTCCCAATCAGCTAAAGAGCTAAACCCACCCCCCCGGGAAGGCCAGAACGTGGATGATGAAGTGGGATTTGCGTGTTGTCTATTGGCGAGGCCACCACAAGCAGGTGACTTAAAATAGGAAGCCAGTAGTCAGTAGACATCATCCATGATGCCATTAATAGATGGAAGGATAATATTAATAGATGGAGCTAATTAATTACGACCCTTAACATTCTGCTGAACTGAACTGAACTGAACTGAGATCGGATTGAGGACATGTCGCGTACATGATGCCATTTATGGAAGATGTTTCCAAATGCACCCCTGCCATGCATGCGCGCTGTCAGATGGTACCTGTTAGGCGCATTTTGTGAGTAGCATATCCAAATATCCAACCAAGGTTTTAAAAGGGTAGAGGTGTAGACGTGTAGTTGAGCCGTAATTTCTTAAACACTTAGAAAAATTAATAGAATTTGATTTGTTGTATTGGTTTTTCTTTTTTACTTGTTTATTTGGCCTATAATTATTGAAATGCTTGTTTCTATATGTTTAAATTATAAAAAATATGTCTTTTTTTGCATTAAATCACTAAAAAATCATTCATACTTAAGGCTTACGCATTTTTAAGCCTCACACCTTTGTGGCAAAATTTGTGCAGTTCACCTGTACGCCTCACACCTCTAGGCTTAAGTCTTGTAAAGCAATGCTACCAATCAACCTAAAATAGGTTTGTTCCTCGTACAACCGCTCTTCACACCAACCTCACACAATGTTGCAGTCATACATCGGAAACATCTCCCAATGAGTGACAACATACAAAGTCGGATTTAATCCTCACAAGACTGCTTATACCGTTTGCACAGTCTCTTACAGCCTTGCATTGGAAATATCTCTCATAAAATAAGCATACAAGTATGAAAATATTTTCAATATATGGCAATGGTGTGATCATGATCCTGTGAGCACAGAATCAGATTTTGCAACGTACCTATAAGTATGGAAAATCTTTCTCACACCCACTTCATAGCACTAGCACTTGCAGCAATGAATTAGGCTGCATTTGATTGAGGTTTAAATAAATTTATGTAAAACTCAACCGTCGGTTCGCATTTATACCTATTTGTTTTTTGTATAAAAGTAAACGTGTAAAACTCTACACCCTGTCCACTTTAATTTGCAGTTGTTTCTTTTTCATGTAAAAGTTACATAAAAAATCAATGTAATATATCATTTTTTTGGTTGACTTTTGTAAATGATACATCCATAAAATCGATGTACTTTTATATTCATTCCCATTTAAAAATTTCCAATGGTCCAATAGTTTTAAACCGGTGGACATGATGGGTTTTTTCACTGCATTCAAACGCAGCCTTAGGAACACCTCCATGCCATAAATGAAAACATGCAAGGGTTGGGACCGGGGATTGATATTTGATAAAGGGTTGGGACCGGGGATCCTATTCCCTTCCCTCCATAAACTACTTGTATTTTAGCGATTGGATCATTTGCAGGAATGATAATTTGTAGAGAAGTACTTGGCTCTCTTAATTATTATCTATAAGATCCCATTCTATCTGCAGCAAGAGTTTCCAAGATATATCCAAGACCTTTGTCCAACTATATTTCACTAGCCAACACATCAAAGAAAACTATTTGCATTCTTTTATATATCTAACAAAAGCTCAGACTTAGGCTTACTCAAACCGATAACATACATAATCTGGCAGCCATTATAATTTTTTTTTATTTATATCTTTTTAAATATTATCACTTCATTTGTCACCATACCCAAAGTCTGTTAACAATATGTAATTTTTTTTTACAAAAAAACATTATATATAAATTAATAAATAAAATGAAAACTGATGAAAGGTAATTTGGCCCTCTAATGGCGTGATAACACGTGGTACCTAAAAACAGTCAGATGACATCTCAACACCATGTAAGTAAACCTCGAGAGCGCCTTGAACACCTTGCACCTACCTTGATGAGTTATCATCTCCGACTTCCCTAGGATCAAGTCGGCGTAAGAGGTGACCTGCTTCCGCCGACCTAACCCAAGTTCAACTAACGACCTGCCTGACGTGTCGGGTGACGTCATTCAGTGAGTTATCATCTCCGACTTCCCTGGGATCATGACGCCACGTCGGAAGAGCCGGTTATCACCCCACCCCTTCGAATGTGACTAGATAGACACTACCCGCTTACGCAGAGTCCATCTCTAGGCGTGAAACTACCCCTGAACCAAATGGGCCAGAGATCTCAAACATGCTTCGTGAGCCTTACGGTAGCTCACCTATATAAAGGCATCTCCATTCACAGAAAAGGTACGCACGATTTAGCTCCCACAATTCACTAACTCTCTAGTTCTCTCATTTTTAGCTCTCTCAAAACTCTTCATTGATTTAAGCATCGAAGTGTTTACCCTGGGTAAAGTAACCCGAATACTTTAATCATCACTTTCTTGCAACTCGACCAAACAACCTACTCAATCCAACATCCGAACAATCTGCCAACAAGAAGCACTAGATCGTGCACCATCAAAAAACAACTAAAGATTCATTTCATATGTACGTAGCAAAAGACTTTAACCAAAAATTAAAGCTCCATCAAGTTTGATGGGATACATGGCATTTAACATAAAGGAGAAGCGCTTCAAGTTGACGCATGCATCTGGCCTAGACGAACTCATTCTTTCTTAACATAAAGCAATTAACGTTTCCTGCTGGGAATTCAAAAACTCCAATTGATGTCTCAGACTCTCAAGTAGTCTCTGAAAGTCTAAAGGATAGGTTGTGTGTCGGTGGTTGGAGAAGCTATAGAGGAAAAGGTTGTAAGTCTCCAGTCCTGGAAATCAAGCTTGCTCATATGGTTTCTTTCTCTTTTCTTTTCTTACCTATGTTATGTATTTTAATTCATGCTATTTAGTCATTTTGTGTCCAGCGGCGGCCAAGTGTTCCTGTTCCTGCATATCTATAGATTACCGATTACGTACCTCCACGACACTTCACTTCACAGCTTTCCAGCCCTAAAAAAATTAATTAATGTGGTACAAGAATCATAAGGCATTCATACTAATTAATTGATAAACCCAATTGTGGCCCTTGGCTATTAGTATCTTCTGGCTGGGTTTAACTCTTCTCTAGTGGCACTTATTCTTGCATCGGTCGAGCCTAAAGTTGCAGGCTACAGAATCCATACAATTGCAAGCGCAGGCCCCGTCCATAATTTTTCATATATCCAGACGATTGAACACTAATGCCTCGTTTGTTTTTCCATAAGTTATTTATCCTAGTAAATGCATTTGTGTCGGTAAGTGTTTTTTAAGAAAGATTTATTCAGATAAGTGCATTTAGTCATGTTCTTTTATTTTCTACTGATGGAGGCCCATCACAAGGCCCATCTCACCCCTAGGGGTGGCAGCTCCTAGGATAAGGATAAGTCTAACTAAGATCCAAGAATTCAAGATAAGCAAGGGATCCAAGAATCCAAGATTAGTAAGACTCTTCCAAGATTAGCAAGATAAAGCAAGACTCTTCCAAGATTAGCAAGAAAGACTCCAAGAAGCATCAAGATTAGCAAGATAATCCAAGATCCATGCATCTAGGGAGATCGAACGGTGGAGTTCAAACCAAGAAGAGTTCGATCCTATCATATTAGATATTTAGATCTATCATAGTTGTCATTTCCTAGTTCTTTTACAATTTCCAAATGTATTATAAATACTGCTATTTTCCCAAAATTAATCATYAATTCATACTTCATATTTTCAGAATTTCTTCAAGTTCTCTTCTTCCTATTTTCGCCACCTTTTCTCTCTCCTAGAGAATTCGGTGTTCTTCGCTAGAAGCTAGCGATCGCCCGATGCTTGCATAGCCAGCCCGGTTTCTCATTGCTTCCACGCTGCGTCAGGTGGTATCAAAGCAGGGAATTCGCCCAGTCATGTCCAACCTAGACGGTAGCAGTCGCAACCCACCCCGTGACGGAGATCAAGGGTTTCCAGCTATTTGGAGAGCAATCGAAGAACAGCATATAGCCACACATAACATCGAGCAGTAGTTGGTAGAGGTGGCTGAACAACTGCGAACCTTGTTACGGGAGGTCGCTCCACGGAACCGGGAACATCCACAGCAAATCGAGGGAGACGACCACGACAGACCACCCGTCCATACTGCGCTACGACGACTAGTCCTGGACGACGACAATGATGATGATTTGGAATTTGGTGGTGCTCCAGTTCTTCCCGACAACGACCGAAATGGTAGAAATTGGCACAATCAAGGTAATTTCAATCCCCGTAGGAATAATGATGAATTTAAACTCAACGTAGATATTCCTACTTTTAGTGGCGATCTTGGCATAGAGGGACTTCTGGATTGGATCACAGAAGTCAATAGGTTCTTTGATTACATGGAGATACTAGAGGAACGAAGGGGTCCTGTTCAAACCTGGAGGCGCATGAAACAATTAATCAGAGGTASATTTTTACCTCYTGAYTATGAACAATATATGTTTGAATCTTATCAGAGGTGTGCGCAGGGTTCACGTAGTGTTAATGAGTACACATCAGAATTTTTAAAATTAGTAGAAAGAAACTAGTTGTTTGAAA